GAGTTTGATGACATGACTCCTGTTAGATATTACTCACGTGGAGGTAGACTGAGCAGACCCAGAAGCAAATTTTCTTTTCCTGGGATGACAACGGCATGACCCGCCCTAATTTCCCTCTGATTGGCCAGTACTTAAGGCAAGAGACGTGAGATTGGTTAGTCATGTTAAATGTCATGGTAAGTCAATCAGAGGCAGAGTAAGGAAGAATAAGGCGGGGGCATGTCTGTTTTAAATTTAGTTTTTATTATTTATTTATTTATTTATCTGTATTTTTTTTTTAATTTCCAGGAACAAATTCCGACCATTAGGCTACAACATCAAGTTGACAAAAAAGTACAAACAATACACATTACAGACCGTAGAACTGCCATGGAAAAATAAACAAAAATAAATAAATTAGAAATAAAAAAATAAAAATTAGAGAATAAACGAAATGGTCAGAGGTCTAATCAGAAAATAATCTTGGAATATTTTTGTAAATGTGAAAGACTAACTTACTTTCCATGTCATGAAGACAAGGAAAAGTGGTGAGGCATTAACATATTTACATCTGTGTATAAACTGTTTAGCCATAATAATCAAGGTATTGTACATCATTTCCTTTTCTTTTTTCTTTTTTTTTTTTTTTTAAAAAATCCACCATTAACACTCCAAATTTGATATCATTATTTTCTAAATTAGGTGCTTGAAGGTCCTTTGGGTCATGCCTTTTTTTTAAACAAGTGTGCAACATGAGAACCAACACTGCAAAATACATGTTTAATAAATAGTGGGATACAAGTGATCAACCTAACCAACAAAATAACAAAGCACAAGATAGGCAGTGGAGCTAAGGGCAAACAAACCAAAGTGATACAAAAAAATAACACAAAAGGAAAAAACAGAAAAAGAAAAAAAGTATAAATACATACATTATGGAAATCAAAATGATGTAAGTAGTGTTTGTGTGTGTGTGTTCTCTGTAGAAGATTAGAGATTAGAGAGCAAAATGAAGAGACCAAGGAAGATATAAGAAGATAAATGGAAAGAAAGAAAGAAGACAAAAATAAAATAAGATAAATAAATAAAAAATAAATAAAAATGCAAGGAACTAGCATGCTTTTGTTTGTGTTTTTTGCTCTGTCCTGCCATCACACCTGTGGCAGGTGGCTGGTCTGTTAAGTGTCAAGGACAGGTTAATGGCCAAGTGCCAAGGACAGGAAAAAAAAAACACTGAATTTGCTTAGAAAAAAAACAAAGCAAGAAAAAAGAAAAGAAGCATTGAAAGTATATGTGATTGTTAAAATTAATTTGAAAAATACATATTACAGAGAGGGCGGCACGGTGTTGTGGAGGTTAGCACTGCCACCTCACAGCAAGAGGGTTCCTGGTTCGATCCCAGGAGGGAGCCCTTCTGTGTGGTCCAAAGTCCAAAGACATGCAGGTTAACTGGTGACTCTATATGGCTGTAGGTGGGAATGTGAGTGTGAATGGTCTGTGTCTATGTGTCAGCCCTGCGATAGTCTGGCGACCTGTCCAGGATGTAGCCTGCCTCTCGCCCAATGTCAGCTGGGATAGGCTACAGCCCCCTGCTACCCTCAAGAGGATAAGCCGTTACGAAAATGGATGGATGGATGGATGGATGGATATTACAGAGAGTTAAATAAATCAGGAAAACTCATGTCTGATAAAATATTCACAGAAAATAATCTGCTCAAAATGTATCCAAATCACTTTACACAAACTTCCTGCAGTTACTGCGTTCACTATTTAGGTTAATTGTACAGTTTATCAGTTGTTCTGTTATTGTTATGCATTAAATGCATAAATTATGTCACTAATTCAGGGTTCGTGAGTTTACTCAATGACAGAAAAAGGATCCCTTGAGAAAAAGGTTGGAAACCACTCTCTTAGTTAATGTTGCGTATTTAAAACACAGAAGAAAGACTAAAAATACAAATCCCATCAGTGGCATGGACTCGTTTTATTCAAATAAATAAAACAAACAGCTACATCCAAATTGAGGATTAAAATCTGAAATACAAATAGGTTTAGATAAATGGACTTATGAAAACTTCACAAATACACACAAAAAGCTTATTGCTGGCAAGCCTCCAATACAGGAAATAAACTGTTAGTATAAACTGTCAGTTCAGATTTTTTGAAGTGGGGTTGTAAGGGATACTTATCCATAGCCAGTATATGACATACAGCAGATGTTGGTTAGCATGCTCCAAGTTTGGAGAAGTGGAAGGAGTCTGACATGGAAGCTAAGCAATCTCCTGCTGTGGACGGGGTCAGCACAAAATGTGTTTTAACAAACTATGCCATAGTCACACAATAACACAAACTAACTGATCAAGGCAGTGGTAGAGCAGCAGCTCCTTTCTTCAGCAATGTTAAATTACTGCACCAGCCTCATTATCCTATTGGTAATCAGTCTGAGAGCAAGGTAAAGCACTATAATACTTTTAATATATCACACTTTTAAACTGATACTGATTTTTTTTTTTTTCTTTTTCTTTTTAGGTGGCTAAAATTTGTTTTGTTACTGACCTCATCCACAGCAGTAGATTGCTCAGCTTCCATGTCAGATTCCAGCCTGCTTTTGCAAACTGGGGGCATGCTGACTGACATTTACTGTATGTTATACACTATCTGTGGTTAAGAACTTAATATAACCCCGCTTCAAAAAATCTGAACTATCCCTTTAAACATATAAGAGAAAACATTTCAGGCAATATACAGTATGAAGGTTAAATTCAATTAAATAAAATCATCTCAGACTGATTTTCATGAATCTTATGTGCAGCTTCCTGTACATTAGTATAATACACTGTCCTGCACATCAGCACATGAAATCAACATTTTGTAGCTTCTTCACTTTGACTGATTCATCTAAAGCATGACTGGAAGCAATTACCTCACTGCAGAGGGAAATGTAATGCCATATAGATGATATTTATTATACATATTTTTGTGTTTTCGCCACAGTATCCTCTCCTGAATGTTACTGAGCACTACAGTGTACTTTCAATGTCTTTATAGTCATGTTAAAGCAGCTCAAGTCATTTTCACACCTGTAGTTCCTTTTATTTGGTTCAGGCCGAGGGAAAGCCGAGGGCAAATATAACATGTTGCTGCCTTTTAATTCTGCTGCAATGTTCTTCTTCATGTTCTTGTTCTTCACACTTCTCACTTATCACAAGTGAACCAAGACAAGTGAACATGAAGTCATCTGGACTGCAAGTCTGACAGCTTTGGCAACTGAAATCAGCTCCACATAGACCCACATGGATCAAATCAAATTCTAGTGACTGACACCAGGTCATGTTACTCTTCACTGAACCTGATGGTTGATTTATGTTCTCTGGATTTATGAGCATGTATCATGAAACATGACAAACAGGTAGAGAGGCATGTTGTGCTGTAATATCATGAGGGAAGATTCTGTGTGTTCGCTACTGTTCCACTGTTTGTACTGCTTTTAAATTTCTGAAGTGTCAGGGACAATCCCTAAAGCATAGACATGTTACCATGGTTACCAAAAGCACTGGGTACCGGTCACATTTAAACTGATACCAGTACCAGTTCAGAGAACTCGAACGAGGTGCCCAGCAGTACCTTTTTCAGCACTTTACCATTTGAACAAGCAGCAGGACTGATGTAATAGACGTAAAATAAATCCTGCTCCTCTGCTCTTTTCTAATCCCACATAGAACTAATGTGCTGTCTGTCTGCTTGTGTGTGTGTGTGTGTGCTCGTCTAAAAGTTATAATTAGTAATATAATTGATTGTTAAAATATGGTAGAAATCAACAAAGACCAGACGCTGAAACTATCACAGCAGATTGGCGCTATAGCAACAGCTTGGGGCCGTATGCATGCCACACCTTTAATCGCCTGGAAAACACACGCAGGTTGCGTCTAAGGTTGCTAAACAACCACAGCAAGCACCGCATCAGCCTATTTGCCTGAAATCCTGAGTGCAGAGCTGATCTTCTTCCAGGCACTGTTTGTGTAGGCCTGTTGTCTGTCTAAAGCTCTGACAGCTCTGCACTAAAATGATTAACTTCTTCTCCACAGTTATCACAGACTAATATTTATGGATGAAGGGAAAGGTATCTGTCAGCTGTGATTGGTCGGTCATCATCACATGACATACCGTGCACGCTGCTGCGTTCCAAAAGTTGAACTCAGTTTATCTCAGGGTGTAGCGGTCGCACCCTGAAAAACACGGGCTTGGGAACACATGCCTGCTGCATTGCCGTAGCTCTGGCGTTTGAGTGCACCTGCTGCACCTCTACACTAAAAACAATGAATCTGAGGGCGCAAAAAACACGGCATGTGTACAGCCCCTTAGTTTGCTGGGAAACCAACGGAACAGCTGTGGAGCTCTGTGCTCAGGGATGCTTCTACCTCCCGTCTGAATTTGAACTCTGTGGTTCCATGGAGCTCTGTGGCTGGCTTCCAGGCTTCAGGGTGCTTCACAACACGTTCCTCCTCTTGTCTAAACCCCACATTCTCACCCAGATGTGCTTTCAGGTACCAAAATTTCACAACATTAGATTTCAAGTGGCTCAGTACTCTGTAGTACCAACATTATTCCGTTGATATCCTTAAAAGTACAGAGATCAGTACCCAACCCTAGATAACAATTGATTCTAATCAGTTCATTAATGAGCCCAATTGGATGTTTGTGCGAAATTTGAGAAAACTCCCTCAAGGTGTTCTTGAGATATCATGCTCACGAGAATGAGACGGATGCAAGGTCACAGTGACCATGACACCCAAATTCTAACCAGTTCATTTCTGAGTCTAAGTGGCTGTTTGTGCAAAATTTGAAAATTTTCCCATCAGGCATTCTTGAGATATCACATTCACAAGAATGGGTCAGATGAGGTCACAGTTACCTTGACCTTTGACCACCAAATTCTAATCAGTTCATCGCTGAGTCGTCAAGAGAATGTTTGTGCCAAATTTGAAGAAATTACCTCAAAGAATTCTTGAGATATTGCATTCACCAGAATGGGACAGACAACCTAAAAACATAATGCCATCGGTCACAGCTGTTGCTGGCACAGAGGCATAAAACCCCATGACTTCAACAAAAGTGCTTCTTTAGGGAGAGAGAACATGGTCTTATCTAAATCTTGAGAAAGTTAACCCTGTGAACCTTGGTCTCCAGTATCCCCGTCATGTGCTTTGTGTGAATCACTACCTTCCTAAGCCTTTTCATTCCACAAAAAGTTAACAAAGAAAGTAAAAAAAGTTAAAATTGAAAGTTAACTGCATATGAATGCATTTTGTGTAAATACTTCAAACTACATTATCTTTATACGCAATGTTGCTGCTTTACTGTTACTCTATCCAGAAGACACTGGGCATCGTTTCTCAGCATCCACAACTGAGCATCACTGAGAATGAAAATCCTTTAAATATGGCTTCAACATTACATCTTGAGGAAACATTCTTTGGCATTGCTCCACATTTGTATTCCCTACAGGAAGAGAGAAGAAAAAAAAAACGCTTATTATGAACATGACCTCTTCAGTTGTCCTGTAACCTTCAGATAGCCGATGTGTTGTTCTGTACCTTTTTACACATGCTGATTTGCATGACAGCATAGTTGATGAGTGCTTCCCGCAGATCTTTGTCTTTCTGCTCCTTAAAGCGCTGCATATCCACCCACGCCCTTTCAACATGCTCTCTGCAGCGAAACACATCAAATAAAGCACACAGGATATTGGTGAATGTATTATCTTAAAATCATGACATCGACAGGATGTGTGATTTTCTGCTTATAGGTCAGAAACGTTTAAGGCTGCTTTCACACACAATATGCAAGCATTAAATATACAATATATAATTTTTCTGCCACAAAATAACTGAAGACAAAACAATTACATCATTGCAGTCAGTTTCTCCTAGCTTAGACTCACAAGTCAGTCTTTAGACGCTTTGCTTAACTAAAGACTAATGTCTTTCTCCCTGATTTTGTGTTTAGATGGGCGGATATAATTTCAGAGTTTAAAAAAACTCCCTACGTTGCAGAACCAATAGTAAATCCGCAGGGCGGTCCTTTGGTGGCTCGCTGAACTCTTGTGCTCGTAAACATAGTCCGACTGCATTAAAAGTTTTAAACAAAGTCGCTGTAAGTCCTTCATTTCCACAATCTTGTGGACTGAGCACACATTTGATAAAACAGAGTTAAATCTCTCAGCATCCATTTTCAAGCTCTCTTTGTGTTTGTTTCCTTGTGGACGAGAAAAGGGGGAGTGCACATTTCCGGGAGGGCGTGTCCTTTTCTAAACTGCAAGAGGCGTTGCTTTGTTGCTGGCGGTTTTCTCTGGTGTGTTAAACACACTTTAGAAAGGAGTGTCCCCAGACTATCAGAAGGCGGAGATCTCTGATTGTCTGGTGGAGAGACTACTCCTAGCTAGGGTTCCTTAAAGGATCAGTGTGTAAGAGTTATGGGGATTTAGTGGCATCTAGTGGTGAGGACTGCAGATTGCAACCAGCTGAAACTTCTCCTGGTTGGGTTCCTTAAGTTTTTAATGTTCAGGGGCCGTATTGATATTATGTAATGATTTAATGTGTGTCTATAACTCTGCTGCCTTCTTGGCCAGGTCCCTCTTGAAAAAGCGATTCTTAATCTCAATGAGGCAAACCTGGATAAATAAAGGTCAAATAAAAATAAAAAAAATAAAAATTCACAAAGCTTCCTAATACAAAGAGCTGCTCCTAGTGACAGAATTCTAAGAAAACACCTTAGAAATGTGACATTTTCTTAGAATTTCCCCTTAGAGTTAAGACTAGGTCTTTGTCAAGATAAAAGTTATTCACAGAGCATCTTAGACCTTAAGAGAGCTCCTATGGTGAAAAACTGTAAGGAGTAGGGAGGAGAACTTTACAGAGGCTTAAAAGATTCTTTAAGCAGAGGAGAAAATGGCAGAAAGACAAAGAGGTCCGAGAAATATTCTCTTTCTGGATGAAAGCGTGTAAATGAAATGTTACAGATTAGACTGTGCAGAAAAAATATGTATGGTTGATGCTATTTCAAGATATGCACACATTGCCCACCTAACCTTGAAATAAATTGATCACAACACTAAGACATTTGGAAAACTGGAAAAATGCAACAGTGCAGCAGTGATGACTTGGGTCTGTCTCAACCTTCCACCAGCAGAGTGATCACATTAACAATGAAAACACTTTCACATTTAGCAGTTCATTTAATTTTCACTGGGTGTCCACGCCTTGCAGGCTCACAAAAGGGCATGTCTGTGACAGCCAATCACACTTGTAAAAGAATGTGTCATACCTAGCAATGGGGTCAACCACACCTCCTCACTATGATAAAAGTTTCTGTCCCTTCCTTGCTCAGAGTTGCTGTGAGAACTTTGCCAAATCACTTCCAAGCTGACACTCCTTGCTAAACTGGGGATGCACCGAAATGAAAATTTGTGGCCGAAGCCGAATAATATTAAACGCTTGGCCGAATACCGAGTACCGAATACCGAATATCATTGTTTAGTTTTTCATTAGTTTTTGCAGATGAACCCCCTCCAGATTAGTGTTGTCACAGTACCAAAATTGGATCCCACTGTACGATACCAATGAAAATATCATGGTTCTGAGTAGTACCACGATACCACAGCGAAAATGAGGCAGATGTGCCTTTTGTCATTTATAAAAAGATAAATCACTTTTCTATAATACATCAGTGATATTTCAATGGAATAAATTATTTTTTTGACTTATTCATACTTCAAAAACAGCATCAATGAGTGATTAACATAGGAGGGTTCAAAATAAAATAAATAAATAAAATAAGAATCAACCAGCCACCCTCCTCCCCTGACAAGTAAAGAACAGTCCCTAAAGTGCGGTGAGGTTTGTGGAGCGTGAACGGCTCGTTTCTCCTCTGACACATCACATACCTGTGTTCGGCTGGCTCGGCTGTTCAGGTACTTCTGGGCAGTCCACACGCCAAGAAGAGGATATTATTGGAGCCGACTTATCCGTCGCCGGTAAGCCGATGGCCACCGTATTTGACAGGAATACATTACTGTCTGTGTCTGTGAACCCCGTTCAACCCACAATCAGTGGGATTCGCCTTTCGTTTCTGCTGCTGGTTGAAATCTGTAGGCTGCTCGCACAGCGTGCTGAATGATTTAAGCCTATTTTGCTCGCTCAAAACTATTTTTAGTCGCAAATACAAGTGTGGTGACAGGTGGATTGCCACACTGCCGACATTTGGGAACTGCCCATTGGTTCCGACAGCCCATTAGTTCGACATCCCATTGTTCCGACCATATTAAACTCAATGTTCCGAAGTCCGTTCCGAAATCATCATGATGCCCTGTGGTTAAGGTCTGGTTAGGTTTAGGCACAAAAACCACTCAGGCCACTGCTGAAATTTATACATTTTGATACATACAGGTAGGCTATACATATTCCAAAAGTACACCAAAGCATACATTTTCGTTTCCAAATATTTATTTGAAAACAAAACCATTCATACGGTCAATAAAAAAACATTTTGTTAATAATAAAAAACGAATGTAATCTCAAGAGTTACCGCGCCAGCCGGTGGGACTGCGGCTGAATCGCTTCCAATGTTCATTCATTCATTCAATCGTGTGTGTGTGTGTGTGTGTGTGTGTGTAGTATGTCAGAGAGGCAAGGCAAGGCAAGGAGAGGAGGAGTATCAATAAAAAAAAAAGTTTCCACTAATTATTTCGGTGTTTATTTCTTTCATTCTTAAGTTGTTGTTTTTTAATTGAAATGCGTAATATAGCCAACAATATTACAGACCAAAAGTTAATCTAATTTATTATTGTAGAATGTATTTAGCAAATCACCACTTTCAACTGGAGGCACGGCACAGCAGCAGCGCAAAAAGGCATTATAAAAAGCCGACAAATAGTGTTAATTAATTGACATGAGACATTGGTGAGGTTGTCAGTCCTATTCTATAGTCTTTAATATTTTTTTATTTTATCATAACTTCTCGGTAATTACTCAAAAATGTATTTTTTGTATGCTTCTGAGCACACGGGCAGCATAAACCATGAAGTTACATATGACGGTCTGGCAGACCGTTGCGGCGCTTGGAGGGGCCCTGTAATCCCGGCGGTCCTAGTGTTAAACTCAATTAAAAAATAAAAGCTAACAAAATAAAAGATGCCTGGTACATTCAGGCCTATCAGTTTGTAGAACAGTGCTGAACAGTTTGAACATGAGGCTGCACTGCAACGTACAAATCACTCCAAATCAGCCACTCCTCGTGGCTGCCTGCGCTTTCCCTGTCCTCGCGGCTGCAGCTTGCGCTCTCTTCATCTGCTTCATCGCCACTGCTGTACACAATTTAAAAAGTACAACCACCCATAATTCATGTAGGAACTGCTGCAGCCAATGTGCAGCCGGCGGGAGCTGCAGGACGACTCAACCACCATGATGATTTTTTAATGTTTTATCAGGCAATAACTATTCCAGACTCTGCTCTAGTGTAATTTTTAGGGCAGGATTCTGGATTCGGGACAACTGCTTGGATTTCGGGACTGTCCTGAATTTTTCGGGACATCTGGTCACCCTTGGACATTCTCATCTCCATCCACCCTTTTCCTTATCTCACTCATTAGGCTGCTATAAGAAAAGTCTGCAACCAGGTGACTGCCAACAGAAATTGTTGCCTATAATTGCGACTTTTTTTTCCTAAAATACTGATTCTGATTTCATATAACGCACTAAAGTAGACATGTATAGGCTACAATTAATGATGGCATCTGTAATATAGTCAACAGCTTTTTTCCTAAAATACTGCTAGTTCTGTGGCGTTGCCTAATGTCTACAGTGTGCTATAGGAGCGATAATTGACGCGCCTCAGTCGACATGCGTCAATTATCGCTGTCAGTGCATTTGGGCTAGGAGCTCTCAGAGAGTATTCTCAGAATGTATGTGAAACGGAACACTTCCAGCTGTCTATCTGTCAGCTCTGCTAAATTTGTGCTAAATTTAGGCTCTTGTCTATTTTGCAAGTCTTGGTGGTGCTTTTTGTGTTTGCCGTGAGCTTAAGGAAATCAACTCACCAGTCTGTAAACTCTCCTCCTGCCAACATCTAGCTAGCTAGCTAGCCAGGCTGAGGTTTTTAAATGTAAACAGTGTGGTGCTGCCAAGGTCAGGAAAAGCGACCCTGCGGCTGTCTTGTTGAAGTCTGGACGTGTGAACAGTTAAATCATTCCACAACCAGAAACAATCCAGGAACATGAACAATTATAAAGCAGCAGCTAACAATGTAAGAAGACGAGTTGTATCTTGTAAAATTTCCGTGTGGTGAATAAATAATTGATTGAGTTACAAAAGACGAAGATCTAAATAGTATAAAAATGTGGCCTTAAACTGGATAAAAAGTCAATTTATATTTAATTTTTTTTTAACAGATTTCTCTTAGTTGAAAATGTTTTGGATAATGTAAGTACACAAATTATATAAATTTAGTATATTGTTCTATGCAGAAAAGTTAGATATATCTTTGAGCAGTGTACATGACTCACTCGCACTCGATCGTTTTCTCCTTGACGGTCTCTTCACCCTCTGCGATCAGCTCCTCCAGCAGCTTCAGCCTGGCCTCCCTCTGCTCAGGTGCCTCCTGGCCAAACAGCTTGTTGGTCATTCCTTTAAAGGAGAACGTCCGCACAATCTAAGGGACGACGTCAACACAGAAAACTTAATTATATCATAAAATTCTCCTCAAGTCATACCTCGGTTAGACATGACAAAATAGGCCATCTCTATTTAAAAATAACAGACAAAGAAGGAGTTGAGTAATACATGTAAAACATAAGCAGAGTGTACCCCTGTAGCCAGCTCCTCACGCTGCTGTTTTTTGGAGATGAGGTCCTGGGTGGCCATCTCAAGCTCAAACTGGGTCAGCTCATGTTTTCTGCATACTGCCCTGTCAAAGCAAAGTTAACTACATAACATCATAACAGCATGCTGCTCCTGTGCTCCAACACAAGCTTTTAACATAATGAAGGAACACAAAGAGCCAATATCCACTGAACACAGATGTAATACATTAAAACACACCACCAGCCACAAGACAGTTCATGAACGAAATACAAGATGTTACTGTTCATTGCTCTGTAAGTTCGATAACAAATCAAAAATTTTGCTCTGGTTTGGTTCAGGTTCGGCCCGCTTGCTGCTGTGTTGTGCTATGGCCTATTCAAGTGCTGGAATTTGTTATTTACGTGACAACGCCTGAATGCAACACAGGCTCACTCTGAGCTGAAATTAAACGAGTGCTCATAATTTTGTCGGTTATGGTTTGTTGTGTTTCGCCGTGGGCAGAGCAAAAGGAGAGTGAAGAGTTGGAGACAGCTGGAATTAGGGCCGTAACGGTACATGTATTTGTGTCGAACTGTTCGGTACGCGACTTTCGGTTCGGCACGACCCTGTACCGAATTATTAGGTGCAGGATATTATTTTATTTTATTTTGTTTTATTTTAATTCCGTTTTTGCGAGCCGAGCCATTTAAAATATCTAGTTCCCCGAAGGACATAATTGAGTGACGGACCGAGTCCCGTAAATCTCCGCTTTCACTTTGTGCAGCGCATTCTCACATTTTGACAACATGGCAAGTGAGCCTGACGAACCTGAAGACCCACCCGCAAACCTTAAGTCCTCCGTTCGGGAACACTTTGGTTTCAGCGTAAAATACGAAGATGGAAATAAACAAGTTGACAAGACAAAAGCAGTGTGCAGACACTGCAGAACAGCAGTCGGGTATGTACTTGGAAACACGTCTAACATGCTAACGCATCTAAAGCGACACCACCTGAGTTTGAACGTTAACCGGTGTTGCGGATTTACTCGTGACCCTGTTAACTGGCGACCTTCAGCCGAATGTGTCTGTGGTTGTTGTAGTGACAACAGCTGTTTTCAACCAGGAAGAGAACAGCGTAGCTGTCCTCGCGAAGGCCTCTTTATTCAGTTTTTCATAACAATATCAAAACATAGCCGACCTTTGGCCATAAGGTCACATTCGGCTGAAGGTCGCCAGTTAACAGGGTCACGAGTAAATCCGAAACACCGGCACGACTAGAAAAAGCAATCTGGTGCAAACTACGATATCGTCGTCGATTAAAAAGAGAGTGCGTTTCCCTGACCATCACGCTAAAGAAATAATCAACACCATTGGCGTAAAATTGTTTAAGCTGCACTTTAGATATAAGCATGTTTTGTTTACTGCACTTTAACAAAGTGGGAAAGCTAAGTAAGTTCCTAGTAAAACTGAATCTGAGCAGGCTTTAAAGCTGACCAGCTGCACTATACTTTTTATTTTAATTGAGTAAAGCAGAAATTTATATTTCTATTTTCATTCAAACAATGTGAAAAAGCAGGATTTTATATATATTTGTTTCATTCAAAAATTGTGTAAAAAGAGTTAACTGCTGTGGTGGTATGTTTTAATAAGGTTACCAATGAGTAAAAGATATTTAATAGTTGTCTATTTTTTTTCATTACTGTACCGAAAAAAAAAACGGACCGTGACTTGTGTACCGAGGTACGTACCGAACCGAGATTTTTGTGTACTGTTACACCCCTAGTTGGAATCCATGTGTCTCTGCATGAAAGCTTTACGAATAAAAACACCTGTGTGACAACTGACATTAAACAAAAGATCAGATCCTCTATGTAGCTCAATATACCTGATTCTGATCAGTTAAAAATGCTTTGATCGACCCCGATCCCAATCTTGGAGATCAGATCAGCACATCCCTTCTTAAAACATTCTCGTTATCTACAGGCAATTTAGAGTCACCAACTAAGCTATCCCCAACCTGTCTTGTCTTTGGACTGTGGAGGAAGCTGGGGTGCCTGGAGAAAACCCACACTGACATGGGGGGAACATGCAAACACACAGAAGGGCTCCCTCCTGAGACTGAACCACTCTTACTGTGAGGCGACAGTGCTAAGCACTACACTGTGCCACCCCTCTTTCATATGATATCAAAAATATAATCTAGTAATAGTTTCGAACCAGCAATTTCATTATTTGGACTAAGTGCCTCGCACTGGCGCACTGAAATAACAGCTGTAATTCATTTAGAAGCTACAGCTGTTATTTCAGTGTCCCAGGTAAATATTTAATAAACTTTAAGTAAATGTAAGTATCTATCGAATGTGAATGGACTTGGAATAGGATCAGGGCCAAAAAACTTGACTGGGACTTTTCTCATTTTCATTTCTCATACTACATGGTAACATCTTCTGTTGTAGCACATTCTACTGCTAATGGAGCCATTATGTCATAAGCCTTTTAAATATTTAGTGAAGATGTTGCTAAAATTGGGTCTTACCTCAGAGCTTCAGCATAGAAGAGATACTCTTTCAGTTGGTCTGCATAATGTTCCTCTTCTTCTAAGATATCATCTATTGAGGCAGCAAATCTACAGGTAAGCAACAAACAAAAACATCAGTAGTGGCACTAATAATCCTAGAGAGATAATATCTGTCAAGAAATTGCATAAAACTGTAATAACTGGGACAAATGTAATTAAGACAAGGCAGAGAGTCCCATCAAGCACTCACGCATCCATATGATGACCGGCACTTTGCAGTCCATCTCCCATCTCTTTCTCTATGGCACTCCACTCACTGCAGTCAACACATGGATGTACACACACATTTGCAAATTAGAAACACTGCTACATTTGAAAAATACTGTCTTCAAAAAACTCTCAGGTTTTGTTTTTCAATATGAATAATAAGCAGTGTGGAATTAATTTGTACTGTATGTAAATACAATTGTTGTAATAACATTATGATGATCACATTTAATGCTTCTGAATTTTTGGAGTGAAGAACATTTTGTAAAGGTAGCAGAGAATCTGTTGTTTGTCATTACGGGACATATTTTTTTGTTTTTCACTCTTCTTCTTCTTCTACATTACCCTAAGGATATTGGGTAATGTATGCACAGATTTTAAGGTCCTTTAAGGTAAAATTGTGATTTTGGATTAATATAACTTTGAGACTAAATTGAAAATGATACACATTGATCAGTATTTCAGGTCCTTTTAAAGTCATGAGCAGATACAATATTACATGCTTGTTGTCAAACCTGAAAACTCTTCCATAGTTCCCATGGACTTTGTAAACACCGTAGAGTCGATCTGCAACTCTCTAGAAGAGACACAGAAAAGACATGAAAGTAAATGTTGATTAAAATAAAAACATAGGAAACATTTCATGATGAAATTCAGATTTTCAGCTGAAGGAGCCCAGTGGTATTCAAGTGTATTTTCTTTTATTTATATACAAAAATTAAAAATCTTTGTCAAGTTACTTTAATGACCAGTACCCTCTGGTTAGAGATTGTTTGGTCAGTAACCGTTTCTGAGGTCAAGAATTAACTTTCATTCTCAGTACACAAATTTAATTTCTTCCCAGAGACTCAGCTAAGAACCTGCCACTAGCTCTGACATTTTTTTTTACAAAGTCACTAGAATTTATACTTTCATAATAAAATGTAAAAACAACCTACAGAAAATGATAAACTGAATCTTCATCTCCCCTCGTCTTTAGAGAGCTTTACAGTGAGTTTCAGCTCAGTGTTTATCTGTCAAGCCTACAACTTCTGGTTCACTCTCGCTGCTCTCATGTAGTGCCTTTACATTTTAAAATTGTGTTTTTTTTAATATCCTGCTTATGAGTTTCAGCATGTTAACACCATATCCCATATTTCGAAACCCAGAGAGCTACTTGGAGCTTTCCAAAAGAAATCAGGATACTGCTTTATGTATAAATCTTATCCCGGTGATTGAGTGCTGACGACTGCCTCCGCAGGTGCAGCTCCAGGCAAGTGATGTGGCAGAAATACAAACAATAGCAGCAGCGACAGCTTCTTTCTTCTGGAGTGGTAAAGAAACAAAGCTTTGACCTCTGGTAATAAAAGAGGCTGCATATCTTTATCCACTGCTCCCCTGTGCTATGTAGTGGTAGTAACAAGGTAGTGCCATTGTGGAGGACAGTGTTTTAAGAGTATAGTGGCTGTTTTCATGAATAACATTAGATCAGTATGGAGTGTGTGTGTGGTTGAGACAGAGAGTGACAGTGAGTGTGAGATTGACAGCTGTTGGTGATCGGAACAGTAAAAAAATTAACAGTTGAGTTGTCAAGTGGTAGTAAATGTAAATGGTTTGTTTTTGTGAATATCACAAGTACCTGCGCAAAAAGGAAGCAGTCATCAGTGAGTGGGTTTCTAGTATTTGTCATGTATACAGGGAATACGAATAGGCTGATTTCTCTGTGCTCAAATAAACACCACATCCCGAATATGATCCTTAACTGGATCAGCCTCATAAACAGGTTATTAATGTCCATGTAAACACACTCATAGTGTCGTGTTTTGCAGCAGCAGGCAGCTGTTTTCAAAGAAAATGCTGTAAAAACTACCTGCTCAGCAACAAACAGCAGACACAGATAGCCAGAGAACATTTAGCAGCAGAATATTGAACGTACACTTTTTAGGGGCAGGAGTGACATAAAAACCAAGACTCCAAATGAATGATAATGTTGCGTTGTAACTCCTGGATGTGCTGAGAAGTTCAATATAACAACTTGAAGGAGATGACATGTTATCTGTGTGTGTGTGCGTGTGTGTGTGTGTGTGTGTGTGTGTGTGTGTGTGTGCACGTGCACACACACCTGTACTTATATCTCTGTGAGGACCTTCATTGACATAATGCAATCACTAGCCCCTTACCCTGACCTTAAAGGGACAGATCACCCCAAAATTAAAAAAAAAAAAATCCCCGTACCTGTGGTGCTGTTTATTAGTCTAGATAGTTTTGGTGTGAGTTGCAGAGTGTGGGAGATGTCAGATGATCACTGCCTTCTCTCAAATATAATGGAACTAGATGGCATCGACTTGTGGTGCTTATTGTGCATCTACTCATGGATGAGAGTCTGTTGCTCATGACAGCCTGGGATGTAAACAATAATGGCGTCCTCTTCCGAGCTGTAACGGTAGCTAGCTCAGTAGTGCCAGGTGAGCTAACAGTAGATGCATGCTTTCTTCTGCACAGTGATACAGTTGACGAATGTAGTTTAGTAGAAAGTAAATTGTTCCTACATGAAACTGCTCACAACAAGGGCTTTGGGTTATCTTGAGTAACTGGGTCATGATTTTGATGATTTTTGATGATTTTGGCGCTTTGAGCACCACAAGCTGAGTGCCATCTAGTTCCATAATATTGGAGAGAAGGCAGACATCTCTAAGATTGATAAATAGCACTGCTGGTAAGAGGAAAAATATCATTTTGGGGTGAACTGTGCCTTTACCCATCAATGCTCAACTCTAACCTAAATTAAACCACTACCTGAACCTAGTTTTAACCCCCATCAGGCCTTTGAAGAAGTGAGAACCAGGCAAAATGTCCTCACATTCCAAAAATGTTCTCACTCCGTTGGTTACAAACATGTTTTGGTACTCAATAAGTAGCAAGTACAAGTACAGGCGTGTGTGTGTGTGTGTGTGTGTGTGTGTGTGTGTGAGAGAGAGAGAGGGGTATAGAGACTTACTGCTCGTGCTCGGAGCAGCTGAGATGTGTGAGACTGCAGCTCATCACTGTAGTGTTTCATCTCCATGAAGCGTCTGAGTGAGAGAAAACAGAAGGCAGTGATTACAATTTCCTTTACCTACAGTCTGCCTACTTATTCTAAAGTTTACATGTATTTAATCTTCCTTTAAGTGATGTTCTTTAGTTTAGCTTTTTCTTTCCATCTGATGGATCTAGAGCTGCAACAATTTGTATAATACTTCATTATTATTTTAATGATCAATCAATCCCTTTTCAAGCAAAAATGCCAAAACATTTGACAGCTCCACATACTCAAATGTGGGAACTGGGTTGGACAAAACAAGATATCTAACAAGACCAGCTGTTGCAATGTTGTTGCTGCTGGTAATCATGTTATCTTGTGCTCTAGCTTATGCGTTCACTTTTCACTGATTTCGGATGTTTTATAGACCAAATGATGAAGTTATTAATCAAGGAAAAAAAATATGAATTAGTTGTTAGGTGCAGCCCTAGATAGATCCACTCATTGGGTCGAGCACTAGAATTGATCATATCTGTAATACTAATAAAGGGTACAAAACATCCTTCTGCCTATAAACAATTGACATCTTTTGCACCTCAGTTATGACAAACAAACAACAAACATACAGCTCCAACTTTAAAATACAACTCCTAATAACTGGGGATGGCTTATTTTGACATTAAAGGGCATTTTTGACAACATTTTCAACACAGCTGAGTCCCTCTTACAATGTGTTTACACTAACACTAACTTACTTATCTGGATTTCTCACCCTGAAGGTGGCACTGAGAGCTCTCAGCCTGGAATCTGCCTGAAACAGGAGTAACAAGAGATGGTCAAGCTTTGTCAACGCTAAAAATCTTGCTACAGATTACCTGTAAGAACAAAGAGATTCCACAAAGTACCTTTGCCTGAAATCCTGTCTCATACACCACTTCCTTCCAGCCATGTTCCTGCCACACACAGCAGTGAAAATGTTTAATTTAATGAGCCACTGATCTGTTTGTTATCACTTGAGTGGCCCAGAGCTGCAGCATGTACCTCAGTCAGAAAGTGGTGGAGGATCTTGTCATTGGAGAGGACGGGATGTGATGCCACACGAAGCAGGAAGTTTTCCAGCCCGACCCTGCGGCGCTCCACAAAGTCTGGGTCCATGTTGTCTGCCGACAGCTTGTGCCACACAAACTCTGCCTGTGTGCAAGAGAACAAAGAAACTGCCTGCATTCAACATCTCACTTGACTTTTATGTAGTGTCTTTACTTTAGCTTGACTGTTTGTCTTTGGTTTCATCAGTTGTATGTTTTGGTGAATTAAAATGATAACTCTCCTGAGCAGTTGACTTTTATCTTTTGTCATGGCAGAAACAACGGAAGAAAACTGGGACAGAAACTGCTAACTGTTGACTTTTGCTAATACTGTTACATTGATGATCATATTTATGTGTGATGCAGCCATCCTTATCTTAGCAAAATACTTTTAGTACCACAGAAGCAATTATTAAATGTTTGTTACCTTCATAAATGATAATTTGACTTCAGATGGAAAAGCACTTGTTCTATACAAGATAACCCACATTACTTTCTTAAGAACTTTTGGTCGGTTTATGCCTATATAGATCGTATACAATAGAGAACTGACAATAAATGAGGAAAGAGACAGAGGGGATACAAATGCAACACAAGCCTCCAACTGTACTTCAACTGTGGACATGGCAAATAAATGGTTAATGTCTTTAACCTGTCGACATCCCTAATTTTCTTTCATTAAGGTCTGGTGTGAATGTGTAGCTTAATGGATGTGCATGTTTGTCATCTTGCCATTAGAATTTCTGTCAATTGCCCTGATTTTACTTGTCATGACCCAGTTACTCAACATATTTCACAGACTTAATTGTGAGCAGTTTCATGTAGGAACTAGGGCTGCACGATATATCGTTTGAACATCTCCATCATGATGTGTGCATGTGCGATAGTCACATCGCAGGACATGCAATGTTTTCTCTTTTTTTATGAACATGTAAACTTTTGTTTTGCTTCAGAAAAGCAGCTCTGAAGAAAGCTCTTTGCTCTTCTCTGCTCGCCTCCCTCTCTGAGCACTAAGCAGCCTCTCCCCCTCTCATGCACACGCTGCAGTCACACACTGAAAATGAGCAACATGCAAGAGGGAGAAACGGTAAAGGAGGATTTATGCCTGGTACACACTACACGCGACTTTTCTGCCCATTCTGAAAGTCACTATGTCACATTACATGATTGTGGAGTCATAAAATCGTGCTGCGACTTGGCCAACAGACATGACACGCTACACAATGGTACACACCAAGTATCACCAGTCAGTATTATCATTTATTATTTATTATTATTTCAGTCACTGTGTCTGTCCATGTGCCAGCCGAAATGTTGTTGTAGTCAGCTGAAAAGCGCCAGCAGATGGCAGGAGCTACATTTGAAGAACCGTACGTAAGCATACAAGTCACTGAATCCTACAAATGTTTCACAATAAAAACCTACTTGCAAAATGGAGGGATTCTCTCAGCCGAACTTATAAGGGGCTTTTAATTTGAAAAAAATACAGGAAGTGTTGAGTTTGACATGACGGCTCGATGCATTAACTTTATCAAGGCAACAGGAGCGGATATAAAGTAAAAATATAAAGAGACAGAGGGACTGTAGTCTGTTTCAAATGAAGCTGGTAGCCTCTGTAGTTGTGGTGAGTAAAAGCCCCGCCATCCATCCATCTTCTAACTGCTTCATCCTCTTGAGGGGGTGACTCTAGAGCCTATCCCAGCTGACACTGGGCGAGAGGTAGGGTACACCCTGGACAGGTCGGCAGACTATCTCAGGGCTGACACATAGAGACAGACAACCATTCACACTCACATTTAAACCGATGGACAATTCAGAGTTATCAATTAACCTAATCCCCAATCTGCATGTCTTTGGACTGTGGGAGTGCTCGGAGAGAACCCATGCTGACACGGGGAGAACATGCAAACTCCGCACAGAAGGGCTCCCACACCCGGGATCGAACTGGGAACCCTCTTGCTGTGAGGCGACAGTGCTAACCACCACACCACCGTGCCACCCAAAAGCCCCGCCACTATTTTTTAATTTTCTTACTTTGTCATCTGGTGAAAATACTTGTATTTTTTAATATTGCAATATATATTACCAAAAAAAAAAAAATCGCAATGTCAGTTTTTTCCAATATCGTGCAGCCCTAGTAGGAACTCTTTTCTCTTTACTGCACTACAACCGCCAACAGTATCACCGTGCAGAAGGAAGCGTGCTTGTACTGCTAGCTCACTTAGCACCAGTGGAGGAGGATGCCGGGTAACCGTGTCTTGATTTCAGGAAGGTGACACTGCTGTTGCAACGCATTCTCACTCTGGCCTTGTCACATATTAACGTTTGGTCATGGACTTTCCACGTTGAGATATGACGTTCAAGGCACCCTGGATGCACTGGTTGTTGTTCTAGGACGCCAGAACAAAGCATGAAACTTCCGTCTGATACATGCATTGTCTATTTTCTAATTACACTTCCTTTTTCACAGGAAATGTACAGTTTGCATACCGTCTCTTTCAAATTAATTTCACTGCGTCAGTACGAATTGAGTTTTTTTTCCCTTCAACAACAAACGAACATGGTTAAATTTTGCAAACACATGCACATGGTTGGGTTTAGCAGTTAAAGCACGTGATTGGGTTTAGGAAAAAAGAACAGGGTTTGGCTTTACAATCTACACCAGCCTCCCAGTTGAAAGTCGATGGTTGTTGGACCCATTCACTACCCCTCCCACCCACCCTGCTTCCACCACCTTAACTTTCATTGTTGTCACGCTTTGTTTCCCCCTGATGCCGCTGTTAAACTATAACAGCAATAACTGTATATCATGCCAATGTAAAACGACAGCTTTTTTCGTTGTTGTCTGATGCCAGAAGTCACTGACCAAGCACCAGTATATACTGCAGTTTCAAATGTATGTTTTGGCGCTTTGAGCACCACAAGCCGATGGCCATCTAGTTCCATTATAATGGAGAGAAGGCAGTAGGGCTGTCAACGAATATTCTAAATTCGAATTTAAATTCGAATTTGAAAAAAAAATGGACCTTCGAATGTGAAAATTGATATTCGATTGTGGAGGAAAAAAAACACCACCGCAACTGTCCTCTTTGCGAGTGGGCGTTGGCCTGGGCCGCTGCACTGAACGCACTGCATAAGGCCACACAAATTCTCGCACGAGCTGGAGCACTTCCGTTCACATCAGACGCGCATTTCTCCATGCTGGTCGACAAACGGTTCTGCTCCCAGCTGTTGTCTCTGTCACCCGGCTTGACACATTCGCTTACGGCTCGCGCAGAAAATAGACCAGAGCCGGCCACTGAGCTGCGCGGCGCGGCGCAGCCGGTGTGGATGACACAATGTTAACATGGGCGCCGAAAGGAAACTGGCTTCGCTTCGAGGCTCTTCACAACGCTTCCGCGAGCGGTGTGGCCTGACGGGTCAGAGAGGGGGGGCGAGCGAGAGGTCCGTGGTCGTTTCTAACGTAATGTTTTAGATACCTGTTTTATGTGTTTTAATGCGTAGGTAGGCTATGTAAATGTTTTCAAAGACGTTTATGTTGAAATAAAAATATATAAAATAGTAAAAAGTTTCCTTGTATTAATACATATACAAGTATGTTTCCTTGTATTAGTTTGCCCTCTTGTGGACATAATGCGAAAAAAAAAATTCGAATGGTTCGAACCTATGAGTTATTTTTAGAAGGAATATTCGAATGTCATTTTTGAGTAATTTTGACAGCCCTAGAAGGCAGACATCTCTACGGCCAATATCTCCAACACTCAGCAACTCATACCAAAACTATCTAGATTGTTAAATAGCACTACAAGTAAGAGGATAAATATGTAGTTTTGATTTTGGGTTGAACTGTTCCTTTAAGTTGCTGGATAAGGTAGTAAGTTCAGAGTGAAACTAACTGGTTACACAGTGGCAGTTATAAGGTTCATATTTGTCATTTTACAACATGAGGTTGCACAATGTGTGGAAGTTAAAGTGTTGATGCTACAATCAGACTTACAATCAAACTTATGTTCAGAGGAACAGTTTGCTGGTTTTTATTTGGGGATGAGGACTGCAGAGTGAAGCCATTACAAAACATTAACTGTTACCAAATTGTTTAATTAGCTTGGTCTCATTTTTTCTGACCATTAATTTTTTTGAAATGCAAATAAGCAAATAAGTTAGCTAGAAACAAGTGGTGATTTCTCAACCTACTAATTCTTGACCTGTCACATTTTATTAGACATTTCAAGGCTGCAAGGATGCAATCCTCCGAGTATCACTAAACTCACCCTCTTCTCTGGCAGAGGCGGGACCACGATGAATGGATAGGTAACTAACAGGTAGTTCCGCAGAAGTTCAAATTCACTGTATCTCCTCCACAGAGAGTCAGGGGCTGGGTTGCGACCTTCAGCAACTGCATCCATTGGCCTTTAAAGATTGAGTCACAGTTAAGTTTTTGGTAAGTTGTTGTTGCACAGCAATAAAATACAGAAGGAAATGCATGCCCTACATAAGAGGAAGTACAGATGTCACAACATCTCAGCTCAACCCACAACACTTCCTTCAAATGACTGATAAAGGGTGTTCTGTTCTCACCGTGTTTCGACAAGGTACACGGTGAACGTCTCCTGCATGTTCACTGCATTTTTGCCACTCCTTTTTTCAGCCTCAGCAACACAGATCTCCATCCTGCGCAGGAGAGTGGAGCCCTCCTCCACCATCTGAACCATCACATCACACAGTATCATTGACAACACCTCTTTGCAACATATTTGGCTCATTGATCCCACCAGTGTAATTGTTGGGCCAATAGCTAGCAGCTGTCTATATCAACTCTGAAAGATGAGTGTGAATAATGGTCAAGTGGTACATTTTGTGATAATTTACCTTCTGCATCATTTTAATTTTGATCAAAATGTCTTAACCCTTTATATGATACTATTCTAAATACCATCATGAGTTGTACTATACTACACAGAAGAAATAAGAAAGAAGGATTAAAGACAGGAGGGATGACTCTTCCTCAAACACACAGTGACGCTAAACCACATTTTATCCAGCTCTACTGTCAAACTATGACACTTTTGTTTAGGCCTAATAAATACACAATAATATAAACAACAATAATAAAAATCAATTTTTTAAGGGAGGGTGCAGTTACAGCAGACTCAGACAAACATTGCACATGATCTAATCCTCTGTCTTCTTTGGAACACTTTCATCACCATCTGGCTTTGCAAAAATTGTAAATAGCCATCTAAGCTTTACCCTTCGACTTCCTTGTTTTTTCAACTTCTTTTTTTTTTCCTTTTTTGGCAGGACTGTTTGGTTTTTGAGGCAATCTATGAAATATTTTCATCACTAGTTAGTTGTTAAGTAAATCCTTGTTAAAATATCTAGCTAGCTAGCTAAATGTATTAGGGACACGTAAAAAGGGGACCTTGACAAACTGAGACAGTGGCTGTGTCTGAAATAATTCACTCATTCACTACTCCCTACTCACTAGGGAGGGAGTTCAATATAGAGGACGATGTAGTGAGCTTATCTGCAACATGAAAAAGCACTTTTGGACACTACTCAGGTAATTTTTCTCTGTGCCATTGATTACATCATAGCTGCTGCAAAATTAAAATGTCATATCAACGTTGGCTGGTGAACCATCCATAACAAATACTGACATGCATTTTTGTGATAAAAACAAGAAATCATACTAGACAGTGTTTTCTCCAAATCAATAAATAACGTTACAAAGTACTTTGTGGCCGTTTGTGTTGTGAGCTGTGCTGCTCTGCTCACATTAAATGTGGGCCTGGCAGACAGACAAAAGGAAAGAAAAAAACACAATTGCAACCTGTCCTACTTATTTTCAGTTTAATCTTTGTTGTGTTGAAGTTTGTTTTACCAGTCAGTCATGTAATAACTTGTAAATTTAATGTATAACGTTATGCATTACACCATTACGGCACAAATAAGAGCTAGTAGCAACCCAGCTCTCTAACATTAGCTAGCATTATTAGCCCTACTCTGTACAGTAAAAGTACTGTACAGGGAAATTCAATTTTTTCACTCTTGCTGTCAATTACACACAGGTCTGAACACATACATGCACAAACAGGACCTGTATGCACCAAGTGGAGAGATGTCAGAGTGAGGGGGCTGCCTTGGTCAGGCGCCCTGAGCGGTTGGGGGGTTCAGTGCCTTGCTCAAGGGCACCTCGGCAGTGCCCAGGAGGTGAACTGACACCTCTCCAGCTACCAGTCCACGCTCCATATTTGGTCCGGACAAGGACTTGAACAGGCGACCAACCCACTAAAGAAAAAAGCACTAAAGAAGATCAGTTGCCAATTCATTTTAATCTCTTCATGGACTGACGACTACACATTATACTGACAGTTTATTACATGGCAAAGAAACTGGTAAACAAACTTCAACATCTTGGTGTCTGTCCCATATAGTCTGTCCGTTCCTTTGGCACAAAGCATGATGGGATATATTGCTTGGTTAGTGACCATCTGTTGTACACAACTTTTCACGGTGCACTGTGGGATACTTTGAGTTCACTATATAGGGTATAAAAATTCTAAGTATACATTTGGACAGCACTACAAAATGGCAAACTCACAATACAGTGGACTATATAGTGTGTAGTGAGTGATTTCGGCCAGTGATTTTTTAATAATCTTATTCACCATGACATACTGTAACTATATGTAGATGTAGACAACATTTGTTGTCATTGTTGTGGCTATTGCTCTTGTTCATGTTTTTGTTATGTCTTGTTGTGCATCGTAACCTTTATGTCTTGTTTTCAGGAATCTGCGTTGCTGCCTTTCTTGGCCAGGATTCTCTTGCAAAAGAGATTTTAATCTCAATGAGTCCATTACCTTGTTAAATAAAGGTTTTTAAAAAAAACTATTCATTGCAAGGTTTTTGATGGTGTGCCACGCCCTCGGAGGTGATGTCAAAACCACAGTTCCTGTACCTGCTACTGATGAGTTCAATGTTGATTTTTAGTGATGTTAGTATACACGTTAAGGTAAAAATGATAGAAACTCTTAAAATAAAGCTTAACAATCACACTTTAATCATTGTCCCACTTTATCTGCATTCACCCTGTTTGTTAAGCACGCTAATGTTAGCATTAAAATAACAGTCACACACAGACTGTATAGAGTCACATAACATTAACTTTGCCTCAGAGTCCATTATGACGCAAACTATTTAAATGGCGAACATATTAACTGAACTGGCCTTGCCAACGTGTAGCCTATTCATTTCCATTTGGCTAGCTTGTCTATGACATTACAGTATTTAAGCTAGCTCTGCCTTGAGCTTTAAACTATGAGCCCATACACTGTAACATTATCCCAGCCTTTACCCGCTGCTGTGCTAAGAGCAGTTTTACAACTATAGCGTGGAGTGGAAGCTGCCGTTTTTTACCGTGTTGTTCAAGCTGTTGCTCCCGTCTGCTGCTGTGTGGTCAGAGTCGTCGTCAGTAGCCACCGACTCTTCCCTCCCATCCTCCGCCATCCTCTTTGCTAGTGATGATGGTGATCTAGGACGCATGCGCAAAGCTCCCATCACCCAACAGATGTTAAGGTTATCCTCCTGAGAGCAGTGCGTGTTTGTCCTGTGATACCGAGGGCTTTATTTTGAACACCACACATGCAGGCTTACTGAGTCCCCATGTGCTGTGTAAACGCCATCCTGAGCTCTCTAAGCGTGTAACACACATGAGTATGTGAGCAACAGAACTCTTCTCAAAAAAAGGGGGAAAAACACTTTGCAAAAACACGTTGCATGTCAGGAGGGAGATAAGTAATCAAAAAGATACATTGTTTCTGTTTTTCAGATGCATGTTTTTTTTTTTTTTATCAATGAGAGTCTTAACTATATTATATCATTATTTTAGAAGTCTATGTTAGTCGTAAGCCTTTCAAAAAACATTTTAAACCAATGTCCTCACTGTGGATCAGCAAGACCTGCTTCTCATTTCTCAACCATTGTCCATACTTCGGGAAACAGGAAAATCCCCAGGGACAGGCAGTAGAGTAGGATGTTGAATGTTCAGAGAAGGACATATTAGCTAGGAGAGAGCCTGAAGACAACATTATTGACACTCAGTGCCCATTTTGTATGAGCAGTGACAAGTAAATTATAGAGCTCTAAAGTTCGAGCCATTTAACACAGATTAAAGGCAGGGTAAACAGAGATTATTTTTTCTTGTACACACACACACACACACACACACACACGCACACACACTCACACAGTATGTATAGCCAATTAAAAGCATGTACAGTACCTATAATATTATAGTTTTATATGTCAATTGAGCTTCATAATGTAAATGAACAGAAGGTTGCTTTAATGTAATGTTTGTGAGGGCAGATTCTTTTCCCCAGTGCTATAAATTATCAGACAACAGCAAATACACAGCACACAGTAACATATTGGACAACATCACAGTAATGACAGACAGGAGTGCATACTCAGGCCTGTTCAGCAAGTATGAGCAAGGCCTATTATTTAAGGCAGCTATGGCTGTGGGGATCAGACTTCTCCCAAAGCGAGCCCTTCTGCACCTCAGTGCTCTGTACCTGCACCCACAGGGAGGGCAGTGGGCTGAGGTGGTGACTGAGTGGGTGTGTGATGTCCTGTTCTATTGAGGTAGCAATGCGTGTAATAGCCCAGGGGTTGGGTGTGGGGAGACTAGTTGTCCTGGCGGTGTTGGTGATGCGTGTGAGTTTTGCCCTGTTACTAACTAATGACAATGGTACAACAGTAGAAGGAGATGGGGACCAGTCCTTTAAGCTTGGGGATGGCTAATTAATGTTCGTTTTGTGGAAAATATTGACCAGGTGTTCACTACAAGGGATATGTTATAATTGAAACACTAATCAATAACATTTTTGAGAAAAAAAAAATCTTCATGGTATGTTACTTACATCCCAGTTACTTAATTTGTGTAAAAAAATATTCACGCATTTGTTCTTTTGGGTCTCATTATTACAGAGCATCTTTTGTTAATATTTAAAAAACAAAAAAAAACAAAAAACAGAAATAGTACATACTTTATGTTGCCCTCGCCAGGTTACATTACTTTGTATCATTGTTGACAACACCACATAGGGGAATTTCACCCCCAGGAAATTACCTGGAAATTTAAACTCACACAGGTTCTAAATTACTTGAACAGAGGCCATGGTTCCAACAGCAGGACATTAACACAAATTCATTTCACAATATATCTTTTTTAAATGACAAACTGTCATTAACGGGATAGTTCAGATCTTTTGAAGTGGGGTTGTATTAGGTACTTATCGATAGACAGTATATTACATACAGTGGATGTCAGTCGGCATGCCTCCAGTGCCAGCAGGCTGGAGTCTGGCATGGAAACTCAGCAATGCACTGCTTTGGAGGTGTCAGCAACAAAACGTATTTTAACTACACAATGATTTCTGACAGAAAAATGAAGCAGTTATATCACTCTCTTCAAAGCCAGACTCCACTGAGAAAAACAGTAATTTAACATTGCTGAACACAGGAGCTGCTGGTCTGCTGCTGGCTCTATTAGTTAGTTAGTTAGATATTGTTATTGTGTGACTTTGTCATTGAAAAGGGTTAGTTCAGATTCACCAAAGTCACACAATAACAAACTAAGTAACTGATGGAGGCAGTGATAGATCAGCAGCTGCTGTGTTCAGCAAGCTAAAGTTACTGTTTTTCTCAATGGAGTCTGGTGTCTTTGACAAGATTATAGATGGGAAACTGAAGTCATTAACGGCTTCCCTGTCAGAACGGGCTAAGCAGTAAAAATGCTATATAGCATACAGTTAACCTGATATTGATTTTTTTAGGCAGCTAAAATAAACTGGTTGCGTACAAACCAGAATCTACCGCATATGAACTCACTGACTGGTACTCCTTAAAACCTCACTTCAAAATGTCCAAACTATCCCTTTGAAATTGGGTCTCACACTCCCCCGCACACCATCAACTAGAAACATAGAAAAGAATAAATAAAGCAACAACACAAACACATGAAAAAATAATAATAACAATAACAATAACAATTATAATAATAAATATCCTACACAAAACACAAGACACACAAAAAGACAGAAAAAAGTTGCACTTAAACAAATCAATAAATTGAAAAGAAACTCAATAAAACTACTTAAACCAACCTTGGATGAAAAAAATGAAGGAGCTCTAGGAACTGCAGCAAACACAGAGGGACCAAAAAGAGGAGATGCTTGAGTCTACGAGATGCAGAGTGCACTTACCCAAGAGAAGGAGGCGGGGCAAAACAATGAATCCCTCCAACACCACATTCAGGAGCCAAAGAATGCTCCAAATAGAAAAGCAGTTTTAAAAGGAGGAAGCACTTTACCCAGAGCTGGATGATGTGAAAGAGATTATCTGTGTCAATCATTTCTTCATGAAGGAGGTGGAGGAGCAGGAGGAGGCAATGCAATACAAGAAGGGAGCCCTCCATAAACAAAAGATCTTCAGAAAATACTCCAAACAGAAAATGACCAGAGAGAGGAGATGCAAAATAACAATGAAGTCCTCAAAGTAGGCATTCAGGAGCTCAAACAAAGGATCGACATAGTGAAAAACACAGGAGTTGTGTCAAGCCATAGAGGCAGATGTAGATGATGGGCTGTCTGGGTGGGTAATGGAGTAGGTGGGTTGGGGTTGTGAATGCCCACAACACAGGCTTATTAGCTGGCAGGTGTGGAGTAGAGGCTTTTTTACATGTATGCGCCAGGTGAGCAACTCCGCTGGACTAAATTGGCGTCATTTTGGCGTCTGATGTTTAGATTTAGATTATGATAATAATCTGTAAGAATAAGAAAGAGATGAACCCAGAGAAGAAGAGCCCAGAGTAGAAGAAAGCAGTTTCCATGAAGAGATACAGAGGTGACATGTTTGCATGTTCTACGTATGTCAATATATAATGTAATCATTTAAATTAACTATCAGTACAATAAATAATAATAATAAATAAAAAGTGTGACATGAGTCAAAACAAATCAGTTTTTTTTTCACATAGCCCAGTATGGGCTGGGATTTGGGGGCATGACTTGTTTTGTGCCCTTTTCAAATATGGATTTGGGCCAGTGTTGAAATGGGTAAAGGCCTTTTACTGTGAACCATTTACAACAGTTTAAACAAATGGTGTAAGGTCTGGCCCATTCCATCTTCATCAGTCTACACGCCAAGGTTACACAGCATCACCTGTTATTTTTATCCTTGCCTTGAACACCTTACTTGTGTTATATGAGCTGAAAAGAATAAAGTGTAATTAAGGGTCCAATCAGTGACTACTGCTGGAGATGGACAGTCTTGTCTTTATCCCTGTGGGGCAGATCTGAAGTTATAAAAATACATATGTTACCAAGCCTGGCTTTTGTTATGCCATTTATACCATTTAACTATAAAACAAACAAACAAAAAAAACTAATAAACTCACAAAATAGAGGAACACCAGGGCTACCAGCTATTCACCAGTACAACATGGCATATAATTCATGATATTCCCTGCATTGGGCTTATAATGGTTTGAGACACATTGGTAGTTGGGAAAGGCTTAAGGGAAAAAAAATTCTAAACGAACATAATAAAGTTTTATCTTTACCAGTTTTATAGTACAATCCAAAATTCACTCCCAGAAGGGACATTCTACTTTTACAATTCTCTTGCAAAATCCTGTGGTAAAAATTCTACAGAATATGGGAAAGTGATATAGGTATTCCCATATCTCATCACAATGGAACGCATCACTTTAAAGTAGTACTGAAATATGTAATTGTGTCAGGTTTAAGATTTGGCAAATAAGGATAACACACAGGGCTTACGTTACACCCTGATCATACATTATCCAAATTGTGCTCGTATGGCTATGAAGTAGATGGTGTGCTGATGCACTTTTTGTGGTACTGTTCTCTTGTTAAGCAGTTTTGGTAAGATATTGAATATAATAAATATATTATAAACATGTCATGCTTCCTTAATATCAAACCATGTCTGGTAAAGTGGCCTTTGCACAAACAAAAATTGCCCATGGTATTACAGCACTGGCCTTCCTATCAGTTAAGCAGATAGCTGAACTGTGTCAGCGTGGAGAGCTGGCGTAACGACTATATGGATTTGCTATCAGCAGGCTGCGCTAACTCTTCAAAATGACGATAGGCCTGATCAAATTGATGGACCCTTGAACATTGTTTAAATCCTGTCTTTAAGAAGCTTGAACAGTATAAAACTATTGTTTTGTTCTGTATGCCCCCTTGACCTCACCCTTTTTGTTTGTTTGTTTGTTTGTTTGTTGTTCTCTTTTTTGTTGTAGTCTAAGCTTTAATTTGTTTTGGTCTTTTTTATCACTGTAATTTTTTTTATTAAAGATTATTAATAAGAACTAATACTTTATTAACATTGTCATAAGCTGTCATACATGGTTGAAAATACAAGTTTTATAAAGCCAAACATTTGCATCATAATGTCATATAAATGTGCTTATAATGTATTATAGACATAACCTCCATAAAAAAGGTCAGTGAGTGACAGGTCTCGCCACCAGACAATCAGAGATCTCCATCTTCTGATAAACAAAGCTAAACAGTCTAAAGACTGACTTGTGAGTCTAGTGAGTGACCAGCAATTAAGTATAATGATACTTGACCTTATATGTTATTATAAAATGCTTTATAATGATTATTGTTATGAAGCATTATGACTTTTTATAACTACAATTATAAAGTACTATAGGCAGATCATAAATAATATGCATTGTAGGCGTGGGCATCAGAGGCAGTGTTACCAGAACAACAGGTACCGTATGGACTGCTCTTTAATTATCAGAGGAGGTGGGTGGCTGGGTTTTTTTTCTTCTCTTTTTTCTCATTGCACATTGTGTCCTAAGGCTGTCGGTAATTTTAAAATCCAGTGACAATTTCTGTTCCTAGTTTCTAGCTATGATGAATGGTGTAATTTTGGTGATTTTCAAAGAAAACATGCCTTCCTAACTCACCCAAGCTTATCAGGCATGTTTTCTTAAAAAAAAAATGTGGTAAAATGAATACAAAATACAAACATTTAAAGTTGTGTGCCCCTCCCCTTAGCTAAAAGAAAAAAAACATAAGTTCCTCACTAGTACTTTAAACAGTCCCATACCACTTGCCATGAGGTAGACTCATGTGCAGTGTTTGTGTTCTCTTTGACTTTGTGGGAAATGTATTTGCCTTGTGGCCATCCAAGTTGTTGTTGTGTCAGCAAATAAACAAACAAAATAAGATTTCAAATGGTTTAATCTTAAAAGAATATCACAGTAAAATAAAACACCTTTACATTCAAGTGAGAAATGACTGAAACATATTAACAACTTGAAGGTTAGACCATGTGCACTGATAACACTGATATTACAATAACACTGGTTGCACAGTCTTTGTTAACACAGTCAGCATCAGTGTTTCATTTGGCAATTGAGGTCCTAACAGTGACCTCTATGGAGGATCTGTTCTTGTGTCCTTCATGGAGGTCTTGCTGTTTTAAACACAGAAAACAGACTATATTAACCTGCAATTAAGTATTGGTCAGTAATGTTAGTGACCAGTGAGTAAAGCGACTTGTCTTTTTTTAGTAGATATGTCTTGATATTTAGAGTTGTGTGATGCTGTACACTATCTGGTCTTTGACATCATCGTGGTAAAAGGACACTTTAGTTTATTACAACTTTTTGGCCATCAATTCTGCAGTTATGGAAACATCTTGTTACTAAAGTATTTTGTTTGTTTGGATTTTTTATATAACTCACTTGTTTAGATGTTATTAAAGCTTGAAGTTATGCATGTAACTGTCGTTGTGCTGTCTGCAAGGTGTCACCACAGCTGGTGAGTCAAAAATGCAACTGTAGCAAGTATCTCATTAACAGCATAGAATTGCGATATTTTTGTGTGGCAATATCATATTGCCACATAGTGCCAAGTATCATTTTTTTAATTATATAAATTATTAATCTTACAAATACAAATTAAACCTTAGGTAGCCTACAAGAATAATATAATCAATTGCTTTTTCAGTCCACTAGATACATTTTGCTGCTGCAAAAAATGACTGAAGTGAGATGAACAGACTGAAAACTTTATCTTATTAGGTAAAACAGATGTTGATAAAAGTTTTCCTTCGGGAAAATAATTTACAGTTGAAAAAGGTAATAAATCGCCATATATTTTGTTGCAATACTCAGTATATTGCAACATATTTAAAATTGCAATAATATTGTATTGTGACTTAAGTACTGTGACAATATCGTACCGTGGATCTTCTGGTGATTTCCACCCCTACTTTACAACACATAAAACAAACGATTTACACACACATTCATACACTGGTGGCTGAGGCTATATTATACAAGGTGCCACCTGCTACTCAGTTAAAATGCAGGGTTGAGTATCAACCACATGCGGACTGGAGGAGCCAGGATAAAACCGTCAATCTTCAGGTTAGCAGGCAACCTGCTCTACCTCCTGAGCCACAGCCACCCCAAGCTAGGTTGGAAAATCCTAATAAGTGTCCAAAATTTTGGATGGGATGCTTTGGATATAATAAGAAACTCAGCATTCAGAGGAGGGATTAAAGTAAATAAAAGAGTGCTCCTAGGGGCAGGGGAGATGCTGCAAGCTCACTTGCAGGTATACCTTATGAGCTTATGTCAAGAGTTTTTATCCAATTACCCTCATGGCCAGAGAGGGGAGACAAAAGTTCCACACTCCAGCTTTAAAATGTTAAGAAATGAGGCCAGCAAACCTCCAGTATGGTCATCAGAAAATGCATCATGTCACCTTAGAGTCGTCATATGGGACTTGGAGATATCTCACAACTGTGAAAACAAACAGACATGATCTAAAGGACAAACAGATAGAGAGAGCCACTTCTGGAGAGACAAATGAATCGACTGAATTAAGTATATTGGAATGTGGAATTAAAACTAGACACATTTCTGTGCTGTACATCAAAACAGGTCATACACACATATCCATGATCCTAAGCTGCGACTCTGTCTTCCAGAGCACTCATTAAAATATAATATACTTGGTGCTGCCTGGAGTGTTCAGATTCAGACATAAAAATATGTGTTTCCTTAAAACATTTAGACACCATTGCTTATTGGTTTCAAATGTTTACCACTTATCAAACCACCCACTCCAGAGTGGATATTTGACCACAGAGTTAAAGTTCATGTCCTGGGAATCATTTTACTGTTGTGCAGGGCTGAAAGGTTCATCCTGTGAGCCGACAAAGAAGCAGACTTGTTGTGGTGAGGAGGGGATGACGTGAGAATGATGGTGGGACAAGGAGGAGGAAGATTTGGGGATCTCCCAGTAGCTGCCGTGCAGGTCCAGGGAGGAGAGAACAGGCAGGGTGTTTCTGTGCATGAATTTATCACACTCTGAGGGCAGAGGTGGTGTGCTCGTGCATTTCCTCAGGCAGGGCTCACTGTAAAGTTGATTACATAGAGTTAGTTTCACTTATTTTAAAAACAATTTGTGCATAGGATAATAGGCAACAAAGTTCAAAAGCATACACATTCTTTGATGTAATGTGTGAAAGTTTATGAGAGGTGAAAGTACCAAAAATCAATTGACAGCTAGAATTACCACCCCATGGTTGTATGCCTCCGCACAGTTAAGTTTCTCTTAGAGTTTTCATCCATGTCACAGAAGATCTGGTGTTGAATAATAGCCATGAAAGTGTTTTGCTGAGCACTATGATGTCACAGTGAAGTTGACCTTTGACTCTTTGCATAAAAAATGTCTTCACTTCATTATTTTATCCTAGTGGGCATTTATGTGAAGTCTTGTAGTAATTATCATATGAATTATGAGTTATGACCCAAAACATATTTTGTGAGGTCACACTGACCCTAACCTTTGACCTTCTACCGCAAAATTCGAGTCTGTCCGGCTCTCCATCCAATCCTTGTGAACACAATATCCCAAGAATGTCCACTTGGACTCAACAATGTAGTGATTAGTCTTTGGTGGTCATAGGTCAAAGGTCAAGATCACTGTGACCTTGTCTGTCTCATTCTTGTGACCACAATATCTCAAAAACGTCCTGAGGGAATTTCTTTAAATTAGGCACAAAGGTTGACTTGGACTCAAGGATGGACTGATTGGATTTTGGTGGTCAAAGGTCGCTGTGACCTTGTCTGTCTCATTTTTGTTAATGCAATACTTCAAGAACAGTGAGAGGCAATTTCTTCAAATTTGGCACAAATGTTCTCTTGGAGGAAACAATTAACTGATTGGATTTCAATTATCAAAGGTCAACCAGTGTGACCTTGCATCTGTCTCATTCTTATGAACACAATATCTCAAGAACACCCTGAGGGAATTTCTTTAAATTTCACACAAATGTCCACTTAGACTGAAGAATAAACTGATTAGAATTTTGTGGTAGAAAGTAAAAGGTCAAGGTCAGTATGACCACACAAAATATGTTTTGGCCATAACTCAAGAATTCATCGGCTAATTATGACAAAACTTCACACAAATGTCTAATAGGATAAAATAATAAAATGATGACATTTTATATCCAGAAAGTCAAAGGTCAACTTCACTGTGACATCATAATGATCTGCATAAGACACTTTTCTGGCCATTATTCAATGTCATATCTCAGGAACGGAAGAGGAGACATTTGGTCAGATACTGAATTAGTGACACTAATCTTGGGTGTCCACCTTGAAACTGTGCTGATTGTATAGATCTTCTGTGCTGTTGGGGGAAAGACATGTGTGAAGCATCTATGTTTTCACAGACATGGATGTAAACTGTAAGAGAAACGTGACTGGTGCGGGGAGGCATACAAGCGAGGGGCAGTAAGTTTTTTAGTAATGTGATTTTTCTTTACTTTCTGAGATCTTTTGCTGGATGTATTCTTTTAGTGATTTTCTGATTTTTTCATATACAACCTTCTTGGTTTGTAATTTGCAGGTGGATAACTGTATGACTAAACTCAAACACTGTATTACACTGTATGAAAATCATCTGTCACCTCATGGAGCTGGTTGGTGCTCCTTTCCAGGCCTGTTGGTACATGCCACCTGCAACCCCAAACAGCCAGCGCATATCAGCTGGCACCTCTGGGATCCATTCCACAAACCTGGAGCAGAGCAGAAACATTATATCAACAGGCACTGAACTGTTGTTGAACATGGAAACTGATAGCTTGGTCATGGACCTCACTTTTTCTTCAAGATGAGTGAAAATGAGATTGAAATGCAGAATTCTTTTGGTTAAAGGTGAGATATTGTAATGTTCAGAATCAGATCTATACTGACCTCTGGGCCACTGAGTAGGCCGACTGTACAGGAAGTGTGTATGGCATGAGCATGTAGGAGGCCACTCTCACTGGCAGCATCTCGGAAACCTTGGCAATCAGGCCAGGTTTGTCTTGGCAGGCCTCGCAGAACACTGAAGGACACACAGACAACAGTCAACCACACACCACTTTACAGAGGCCTTACAAAACTTATTGCATTACTAAAAACCAACAGTCTGGGATGACACCACACCTTTCTTGATGGGCGTAGGCAGAGCAATCTGCTCATCCAGCCACCAGTGCTGTTTCCTCAGTAGGTGGAGCCTACGGAGCACCCACTCTTTGGTGGTTTCTGTATGCTTGCAGCAGCAGGTGGGCGTGCTCTCTGGAGGGGCAAGGCCTGAGGTCGGACGCTCCAGCATCAGCAGGTCTGGCACCACAAAACATGACATCATTAACACTGTCCAAGGGTTAAACTAGAGGCTAATAGGGATGCATCATACCTAGGTAAGCTTATTTGATATCACCATGGTAACACAGTAGTAGAGTACTCACTGTTCTCTTCAAGGAAACGTAGAGCATCCTTATAACCACTCTGACACATCTCAGCCAGAACCTGTGGAGGAAGACAGGACATCTAATAGTCAGTCATTCTCATGAATGCGATATCTCGAGAACACACAACACACAATCAATTTTCTTTGATATCACTGTCATAATTCACTTCATAACATCACACAACAGGTGAGGGTGAATTTCTCTTGATTTCTTTGGTTGATTTGTTTTTATTTAGGCATTTTGAATTTTCCATACCCGACTGAATTTACAAATGTAAGATTGGTGTGAAATTTCTCACCTAGCTCTCTGCAAAAAAGCAAACAAATTTCCAAAATGTAAAAAATTTCATTCAAGAAAGACTTGGCAAGTAGTGTCATAAAAAGAGAGCTCTGACATCATCAGAGGTGATCACAGCCAACCCACTGGCTGGACTGATAGGGACAGGTCACCACGGGTCAAAATACACTGAGTCCTCTGTATTATTTGACATTCAAATTCTGTGTTCCTATGCACTGCCATGTGTGTGTGTTTGTAGTGACAAGTTGACACAGAGTTACTGCTTGCAGGCTTGTTTGTCATGTGGCATGGTACAGAGAGGTAATTCCTCCCTCTAGGAATGTGGTAGGAACACACCTCCCCTGTCACACAGACTAATGCACCCAATTACATAACTGTAGAAGCCAGACGACATAACACACACGTGAGGAGAGCAGAGAGTAGCCAGGCTGTATAACAATAACACAGCTCTACCCCAACAAGGTCAAAGCTCACCGCATAATGGGTTACTTAAGAGGGGTCGCAGGAAGATTAAGAAAGTGGAGGGGAAAGCAAAACCTCATGGAGTCAAGGCATAAAAAAGCTTATTTCCTGTGTGCCTTAAAGGTACTTTATCCACTTGTGACAGTGAAGTATACATCTTTAAACTGTCAGCGAGCCACTTCAGTTTCAGTGTGGAGATACTTTGGCCAATCCTTGCATGCTGGTCATAAAACAGACAAACTGATGTAGTAATTTCAATTCTATAAAAGAATACCTTTCTTGAGTTTGCTAAAATTAGCTTACATTAGCTACCATAAGCTTATGGTCATACCAGACCACGTATGGTAAATGGATTGTATTTATATAGTGCCTTTCTAGTCTTAGCAACCACTCAAAGCCCTTTACAACACAGGCACCACACACACACACACACACACTGGTGGCCAAGGCTCAGTGGTGTAGTGAAGGGTATACCTAGGTATATGGGGTATACCTTTCTCTTTTTCTGGCTGTTTACAGTATACCCACCTAACAGCCACAACAACAGCATCAACTATCACTACACCACTGCTGAGGCTACTATACAAGGTGATCAGTAGATCAAGCAGCAACCTCTGGGGCTGAAAAATGAAACCAAAATTGAATTGCCAAAAACTGCAGTTCCTCTAAAGGCCACTAGAGGTTGGCTCAAAGAGCGAGTCAATCCCCATAGACCTCCATGTTAAAATGCCCAACTTTACAGCAGAAATATATAGCCTGGTACAAAAAACAGTTTTGGTCTCTATTAGGGATGCACCGAATATTCGGTAACTGAATATATTCGGCTGAATATTGCAAAAAAACACACATTCGGGATTCGGTGGAATAAGTTAAAAGCAAGACTGAATAATAGTGGCGTGTTTTGATAACGCAATCAAACAGCGTGCCGTGACTGGCGGATTAAAATGTTGGCAGTGTGGCGATCTGTCCTTCACTGCACTTGCATTTGCTACTAAAAATAGTTTTGAGCGAGCAAAATAGGCTTAAATCATTCAACACGCTGTGTGAGCAGCCTACAGATTTCAACCACCAGCAGAAACGAAAGGCGAATCCCACCGATTGTGGGTTGAACGGGGGTCACAGACACAGACAGTAATGTATTCCTGTCAAATACGGCGGCCATTGGCTTTCCGGCGACGGAGAAGTCGGCTCCTATAATATCCTCTTCTTGGCGTGTGGACTGCCCAGAAGTACCTGAACAGCCGAGCCAGCTGAACACAGGTATGTGACGTGTCAGAGGAGAAACGAGCCGTTCATGGCCCACAAACCTCACCGCACTTTAGGGACTGTTCTTTACTTATGAAGGGGAGGAGGGTGGCTGTTTGATTCTTATTTTATTTATTTATTTTATTTTGATCCCCCCTATGTTAATCACTCATTGATGCTGTTTTTGAAGTATGAATAAGTCAATAAGTAATTTATTCCATTGAAATATCATTGATGTAGCCTATAATAGAAAAGTGATTTATCTTTTTATAAATGACAAAAGGCACATCTGCCTCTTTTTCACTGTGGTATTGTGATACTACTCAGAACCATTATATTTTCAGTGGTATCGTACAGTGGGATCCAATTTTTGTACCGTGACAACACTAATCTGGAAGGGGTTCATCTGCAAAAACTAATGAAAAACTAAACAACGATATTCGGTATTCGGTACTCTGTATTCGGCCAAGCGTTTAATATTATTCGGCTTCGGACAAAAATTTTCATTTCGGTGCATCCCTAGTCTCTATAGCTAATTTCAACATTCATGGCAACTATACAGAGGGTGATTTTTATGTAACTCACTCATTTACATTTTATTAATGCTTAAAGTTATTCACAATTAAGGGTGTGGCCATTTTGAGTGACTGATTAGTGCTGTCTGTTGACAGGTCGCTACCATGGTAACAACACTGGTTAGGTAACATAACCTGAGCATAACCACAGATTCCAATGTATAGGCGTAGCCATAGCTGTCACCACCTTAGTGCGTTTTCTGTTCATGAAAATTAATTATAACATTTTGGTGTCTAAAGAAGTCTTGTTCAGTGTTTGGTTGTACTAAAAGACCTTCGAAGGAGTTGGACGTTCAGTTACTTTTCCGTTAAGTACATTTTGTTTTAATGGATTAAGCCTGCATTTGGTGGCAAAAATTAGCATTAGCATTAGTATTATCACAGTTAACCATAGCTGTAAATGTACAATGCTAGCTAAGCTAGCAGCTAGTGTTAGGGCTATCTCCACCCTCTCATCTTAATATGGTCACTTCTGACTCCAGAAACCAAGATGGCCATGGCCAAAATGCCATAGCCCAGCCTTCAAAACCATGAATGTATAAAGAGACCTGGATACAGCATTTAAGGTGAGATCCTGTGGTGCATGAAGCCAAAAAAAAAAGCTTGATTTCTGCAGTATGAAATACCTAGATGATCGGAGCTGCTCTCGCATCATTGGGCCCATAGAGCAAGCGCACTTGACAACAGCTCACCCAGCTCCTTCTGGTTTAGTGCTCTGCTAGCTTAAATTAATATAAAATGATTTTTTCGTGCAGTTCTTTTAGACTTTCCAAATGTTATCAGACTGAATGGATCAAATCCTGATATTAAAACCGGTCATTTTCGTCAGGTCATAATGCTAAAAAAAAATGTATCACCTGATTTACAGACATCTCTTTCCCAATGTAAGTCCATGGGGTCTTTTGGGCCCTAATGGCATGGCGTGACCGCCTGCGTAGTTGTAATTCCACTATTTGGCCACCACAAAAATTGGCTTCAAAAATTGGTTCCAACACTCTGCGTACTTCCTAGTGGCCGGTTCAAAATGGGAATCCACAAACCAGTGGGGTTTATTATCTTGCCCAAGTTCACTGCAACACTTAGACTGAAGGGGCCAGGGACTTAACCAGCTATCTTCTGATACATAAACAACATCTCTACTTCCTGATCTACAGATGCCCCACTGGCTGTAGCAAAAAGTACACTTACCATTTTGCATCATATTTTTTGTTATTGTCTTGTCTACTATTTTTTTTTAACTTTATTAAATGCACCTTATACACCATCTGACAAAAGCAGGGTGTCCCTCTAATGCTGAGGTATTCCCTACCTTTGGTTCTGGTGGAAACAGGGCCCTGCTGAGGCGGTACAGGTTCCCCAGGTTCATCTGGATGCTTGTGTTGGTGAAGCGCAGCTCGTGGAAGCTGGTGGAGTTGTCGCGGGGACAGATGTCACTTTCACCAGAGAAAGGCGAGATAGTGATGGTGTTCTTCAGCTCTGACTGTGGCAGGTTGTCACTGATCCCGCCATCCACGTAGCGCTAAAGAAAAGACAGAAATATTTACATCAAGAGTTGAAGTACTTTAAACTTTGACGACAGAGTAGATTGCAATATCATCCTTTACAGAAGGAGTCCCATTGAAACCCATGGGATGTTCCTCCCGGCTACTGTACCATAATAATGGTACTTGTGCCCTGCGATTGTTCTGAGCTTACATCCTAAAGACACTTTAGCAATTGACCTATCAGTCACGTCTCTGCAACATTAACATCTTTGCTTTATGAAATGCTCTAATTCCATTTCAGATTCAACCTCTGGAACCTTGGAAAACGAAGGGAGGGTATTTATCATTTAAAGCACTTAAAATGCCACAGAGAAAGGATTAACTTTATTCCAAGGGCCAGTTGTAAAATCCCATTCAGTTTGGCAGAGATGGTGCCAGCAGTCCAAATGAGTGAAAAATGTGTTATCTGTGTTACAACCTCACTGCCAGCTTGACAGAATATAGGTCAGTGAGGAAATGGAGGTCAGGATGCATCAATGTGCATACAGAGTCATAGAAGTGTGGATTTTGACACTTTAACATATACGGAGCAAAAATTTAAACACAGCACTTTTGATTTTGCTCCCATTTTTAACAGGTTTAAGTTAAAGATTTAAGGCTTTTTTAATACATTCAGTCCTCTCAAATTTTGGTCACAAATTTGTTAAAATCCATATTAGTGAGCACTTCTCCTACACCAAGATAATCCACTCGGCTGACACATGGCATATCAAGATGCTGCTTAAATAGCATTTTTACGACACAGGTGTGCCTTGGGATGGTCACAATAAAAGGCCACTCTAAAATGTGCGGTTTGACCACTCAACATAATGCCACAGATGTTGCAAGTTTTGAGGGAGTATGCCATTGGCATGATGACTGCAGGAGTGTCATTTCAAAGTGATTCAGACTTCTGCTGCACACAATGATTTGTCAAAACTTACGTTAGACATCTCAATCATCCCAACAGTAGCACAAGACATGAGGGTAGCCTAACTACGACGTCCTGTTGGGGGCTTTCAAAATAAAATAATCTCTGCACTCCAGTGAGCCAGTTATAAAGTGTAAAACTTTCACAGTACAGCGGGGAATACAATAGCCTACTAACTACACAAAACAATATGAAATGACTGGATAACTTACCTAAGACAGTGACAGCCCAGCAATTGCTAGGTGATAAGGTAAACGTTCATATTTCTGCTACCAATTGAAAAGAAGTACAGGCATCTGGCCAATCATCACTGTGTTCTACTCAGCTTTTCCTGTTTACAGACATAGGGTTGGATTTCTAAATGTAAAGAAGAAAAAACAGAATCTGGTTTTATTTGGAACTCTGACATTCTAAATTACAAATACATTTCAACAAAAAAATGGATATTTTGTGTGCCGAGAAAGAATAGTCATTTTCCGTAACAGTCGCTCAAAAAAGAGAACAATCCCGGGAAAACCAGAACATGTGGCAACCCTACAGGTGCTTAATGGAGCGTCTCAGACAGAGTGAATACAGGTGTTCCAACGCAGACAGTGTGAGGAAAATAAAGTGTTTTTGACCATTATGGCATGTAAGCATGTTCTAGTAGAAACCTTTAATACAAGTATGATCCTGTCCCTTTAAGTCCATTTTAAGTTTTATCTATCAAATGCCTACAAATGTTTGATTTTTAATAAATACACCACTAGCTATTCTCCAAATTACTAGTTGTCCACAGGGTGTCATGCCTCAAGTTAATGCACACTCATGCAAGGAATTGGTGAGTCACATGAAACTGGGCTCTGAGCCAGCAGCAGTCAGGCAGCAGAAAGTACACAATGTACAGAATCCACAAATATAGCCTGCAGACAGAATGTGTGCATACAGACAGCTGCGTGTTTACAGTTTGACTGAATCTAGCTTCAAGTTGTAGGACAGACTGTGTTCCCTGTGGTGTTTTGACATGGAACTCTGGCACAAAGACTGGGACAACAGGCAGTATTCAGGGTGAAGTGTACCAAGATGTCCACAAAGACAGTGTTTGTCAGGGATGTCCTATTTTACCACAGAGATTTACTCTGTGACTGGAGCTTCTCCGTCTGGTCCTAACACAAAAAACTCATCATATAATTTGAATCGATTTATATTTACTGTAAATGATAAGCACTGAGCTGATGTCATTCGCTTGAGTACTTTTATATGTATGGATTGTGAATCACTTGACCTTTGTATTTTATTATTACTACATAACGTCATCTGAATCTAATCTGACTGACTTAGTTATGCTTGTGTACCAGCTGGCAATAGGGCAGAGGGAGTAGGTCTGATTAGTGCTGCCTGTTAACAGTGGCACACACACACACACACACACACAGTAACCCCAGCTCTATCTGTCCCAATTAGATTACTGTCAAAGTCCAATAGCAGCTGATAAGTCCAAGTGAAGACATCACTGGTATCAAACCAGGACTTACAGCTAAATCGATTATAAGTTCTCTTTCTAAACATGCAAGCCACCCAGACTGATTGATTTATAAAGGAAACTAAAATGATCTCATAGCAGCCTCGTGGCTTGACCTATATTTTCCTGTTGCTTTTTTCCTGTGCAGTATTCCTCCAGTCCTATTTTTAGGTTTTAATAGAACGCTGTCATGTAATAGAACGCTTTTGGATCACAGATGCACCCAAAGGCAATTCAAAATGATCTTCAAATTTTATTTTTCAAATTTTAATATGTTTCTAAATTCAGGATCATGATGATTATCCTCTCTGATGTTTGACTCCCTTTTCAACTTTGCTTGTTGCTACATGAAAAAACTGTGATCTTTCTTTGTCAATGAAACTTCCTTCTACACTGAACAAAAATTTTAACACTTTAGTTTTTGCTCAGAAAAAAACTTTGGAGGCAGTAACTATTCTGGGAGAAGAAAGAGAGTGAAATACAGTTTTGTACAAATTACTGTGAATCCCAAAAGGGAGACTTTAAAGCTCAACCTTGTTGAATAGCAACTCAGCTGCAGACACCTACCACTCCTCTGAAGGATGGAGGGATCAGCCCGCAGTAGATGGGAATGAAACAGCTACAGATCAGCGCCTGTGGAAAAAGTGCAGGGTTAAACCAGAGAAAATCAATTTCCTGTGCTTACAATACTGTGACGGATGCCCCAGAAGAGGCTTCTCCAGAATTAAAAATAACAATGTCACAGATTTCCCGCACCTGTATGAGTTCCTCTTTGGAGCTAAACTCTGACACCAGCACGTTCTCCCCATCAGACACTCTGGTCAGTGAAACACACAGCCGCCCCGAGGCGAGGATGTGTGCGTCAGAAGGAAGGTCACGATTCAAGCCAGTCTTGATCACCTTGACCAGGTTGAAGGTAGGGTGAAGGGGGCCCAGGTTCCTCTTCCTGGCCTCTTTTGCCACCTCGATCACATCTTCACAACATTTAGCTAAAAATGAGAAGAAAACACAGTTTAGGCTGAGGAAATGGGACTTTGAAGCTACACTCCTGATTTGAAGATTCCCTGTGATCAATCAGCTGCAACTTGGAAAACACACCTTCAAGATTCAGCCTGCTATTGGATCAATATTCACTAAAGCTACCAGGAGTCAGTGACCACCAGTAACCTCAGTGAGCCCTCTCCTGAGTACTCAGCCCATGCTGAGGTCATTGCAGCCTCCTGTTGGTCGACACGTGTTTACTGATATCAGCCTTTATTGCTTTTTCATGGGAGAGAAAGAGAGGCTCTGACTCACACTGTCCACAGTGAAAACAGAGCCCTCTTGTGATCCTGTTTTTCTGTGTACAGTATATTGCCCGAGATGCATTCTCACATAAACTCATTTAAAGTGTAAAAAGTTTCTAATGACCTTATCTATATGTTTTTTTCCCCAAACTGCTTGTCTGCTTTTTATTATGTTGTCTCTTGTATCTAAAGGGCTGACAACAAATTTCCACCCTGGTGGATAATAAAGATATTCATTTCATTTCATTTCATTTCAATTCAATCTAATTTAATCTAATCTAGTTTAATTTAATTCAATTCAATTCTTTTAGGCCTACGTGTTAATGACATTCATGCGATTTATGTTTGGGATGCAGGAAAATTGAGTCTTCTAATGTTTCATATATGAAAAATATACAATATATTTTGGTATTTCTAGATGCAAAAAATACACACAGGTTGGTCAAAAGATAAAATTTACTAGAATTCAACCAGTTTTCTCACACCAATAACTGAAATTAAAGAAGTTGAATCTATGTTATTTAAGCGTGTGTGTGTGTGTGTGTGTGTGTGTGTGTGTGTTTGTATACTGTTAATATATTTCTGCAGCAATAATTAAAAACAACACCAATCATAATCAATAAATAATATATTGCTTGTTATTGTTATAATTGTTATTATTATTATTATTATAGGTCTACTAATAATAGGTTAATAACAACAATAAAAATAACTAGAAAAGGCATCTTCTGCAGAAAGTGCGTGTGGATGCTGACAGCTGAAATGCATTGCTGAAAATGCAGAAATATAAAACAAATTGGCTGAGATATAAAAGCTCAAATGCACTGACTACACTGCTGAAAAACCTGGAAACTACAAGACAAGAAGTCTAAAAACGCTTAATATACTTGGAAGAAAAATGCTGAATTCAAGCGGAAATGTCCTTAAAGAGCTGAACATGAGTCTGTAGCTGAAAGTATGCAGAAGTAGTTTAATGCCAAAAAAGGTAAATTAAGCACCAGAATAACGATTTGCAGAATAGTGGCCTAATTAATTATTCAAAATAATATCAATTATACAGGACTTTCGTTGTCCTCCATATCCTGCCTCAAATGTATCCTACATAGAACTCCAGGCTACCGAGCCACAGCGGTGTGTCTTACTTATTGAAGCCTGGCTGGCGAGCACCGCGGCGGTCAGAGCACCGGCAGAGGCTCCGTACAGCTTGGTGGCCCCTTTCAGCAGGTAGGGCGCTTTCTCCAGCAGACAGCTGGCAACCCCGATGTGGTAAATTCCCAAAAACCCGCACCCGGCGAATGACAAGTTCCAGCCGCCGTTTAGGTCGAACATGGTGGTGCATACCCCGGTTGGGGAGCCCTGAGAGCGGCCTGATCACCGAGTGCGCAGCGGCAGACGGGGAGTCGCACAACTGTCACCAGTGCTCGGCGAACAGGAGCTAACTGAGTTATTCAACAGGTCAACAACTGGATCCATAGAGGGAAGTTCAGGGAGGAAGCACTGAGAATGATGCCTTCAGGTGCTGTCGGAACTACCACAACATTGATGTGAGCGGTTCAGCAGCGCGTCTATCCAATTTCTATAACTTATTTTCTCTTAAGGGATTTATTTATATGATATAAATAGCAGAACATGTACCAAAAAAGCCTTACTGCAATTTTACTGTTCACGTGCACATGCTTATATTTTTGTGTTAAGCCATGAAGATTGACCCCTTTGGATTTTTAAAAACTATTATTTATTCATTATCCAACGTTGATGCTCTCAGGTGAGGCGGAACGTGAGGCCCCTTGAAGTCACCGAGGGACAGTAAATGCAACATAATTTTCAAGCGCATGATTGGAGTAATGGACGTCTATCAATTTCTCTTTCGACATAACAACCAATCAACTGCAAGTGGGACAGACAACACGCAAGGGACTTTACTATCCCCTTAAAAACAGAAGCGAAACCACAAATGCTCCCTCTGCTTCTGTGCTCTTCCCTGACAGTTATTACTCATACCTGTTAAATAATTCTGTGGTGACTGTAGGCCGTACATAATGGTGATAGAACACACTCTCCTTTTCACTGCTGTGTGTTTACATGACATCAGGACCTTTCAAAAGACAGAGCATGTTATAGGCCTAGATTTGGGTTGCCTTTTGTGCTGTTTATCAGTCTAGATTGTTTTTGTGTGAGTTGCCAAATGTTGGAGATATTGGCTGTAGAGATGTCTGCCTTCTCACTGATACAAGGCTGTAATCACCTATTCAATATTGGGGGGGTACCATTTACCTTGCCATCCTCTGTGACCCAGTCATCCAGGGGAGTCTGGGGGAAATTTCCCTTCATGAGAATTTTTTTGAAACTTAACAGCTTATCTGAACATTTAGTAGCATTTTGACACAAAAATCTTTGATCAGTCATTCCCAAAGTTTTGATGATGAGTGTCATTTTAGCAAGGCAGAGTATGATTGAGGGCTGCACTGCAAAAGTGCACACACCAAGACTTTTATCTGACTTTTATAACATACTATATTATAACTGTGACAGTTTTATGACATTTATGACATATTATTATGGTAGAGCCAAGTACTGGGATGAAACGAGTATCTGGTAGGGAAAATATAGGCTACCTTTTACAAGTACGAGTATCATCTCAGTAAAATGTGCAAACATCCCTGGTAAAGAAAAATAATTTGGGTGGCTGTGCAGGCTGTTCTCTCAGATTTTTCATGTTTTCCACAAAATTGACTCAAAGTTCACTCAAAAGGTTTAGACTTTGCCTGTCTAAACCTAAAGACACCCAACCATGATTATTTTCCTAAACCTAACCTCTGTAACTTTACGTTAATTATAGCGTCAGTCGTGGGACACAAATTCGTAGGATATCATACAAGATATTCTATAAGAATACGTTCAACTGTCTCTTTCTTTTATGATCAAAAATGATCTGAGATTGTTCTGTAAATAGTTGTCTAATAAATCATAAATGTAAGAACTTCTGACCAACCTATGTAAATTTCAGGCAGTACAAAACTTCTGGCTAGGCCGCATCCATTTCCACCTGAAACCCCACCTACTTTTGGTCAAACTCCGCCCATTCCGAGTACAAATAAAGATAATTTAGTTTGCTGAACAGGTACAGGTACAGATACAGATGATGGTGTACTCACTCATCCCTTCGTATTATACTATGACATTTTTTAAAATACTATATTATAACTTTTTTATGACTTTTTTATGACATACTATCAACAACAACAGTGATATTATGTATCACTCAATTTTACATTTTACTTTTGAGCCTAATACAATTGAAAGAGAAATACAGTACGGTGTTTGACATTGATTGTACCCACAGCAGTCAAGCAATGACTTCTGCCTGGGTATGGCAACACCACTTGTACAAACCACACACAGAAATTGCAGTAGCCTACACCATTACTTTGGGTATCAGCAGAAGAGAGAAAGTAGTTCCTACATGAAACTGCTCACAACAAGGTCTGTAGATTATCTTGAGTAGCAGGTCATGATTTCTGGAAAAAGACATTGCTGTTCAGTTTTTTTTGCTGTGTATTTTTTTAGTGCTTTGAGCACCACATACTGGGTGCCATCTAGTTCCATAGTAATGGAGAGAGGGCAGAGGGGAACTGTTCCTTTAAAGTATTATGACCTCTGTATGTAGCCTAATATCTAATCGCATATTAAAGTCAAAAGCACTCACAAACACTATAAAAAACTTATAAGACCCATTAATAAAGAATAGAATATTTTAGGCCTACACAGTTTATGTGACAACATAGTAATTGAGTAGGCTGTATGTAAGACCATAGGCCCATAATAATATTATAGGATTATTACAGCTGCCTCTTAGGTTGTACTGGAGCAGAGCTCTGTGTAATGTGCTGGGGAACATTCTTCCCCTGCGGTCGCGCGCATCCTCGAGCTCGGCTAGAGTGGTCCTGATGCTGGGACTTGTGCGCGCGCATTACATCACTTCTCCCCCGCGTGATTGGCTGTAGGTCAACTCGTCCGCCTGCCGTGCAGCATTCACAGCAGCGGCGTTTCAAATCAACCTCAACACCATCATCATCATCATCATCATCTCCACGTCTGATTGAATTCAAAAAAAGGGGAAAAACGGTCGCGTGGGTGTGCGCGTTTTCTTGTTCTTGCACTGGCGGCTGGTTTCGAGGATGGCCGAGAGCGAGGCAGATACGCCGAGCACGCCGATTGAGTTTGAGAGCAAATACTTCGAGTTTGATGGAGTGCGGCTGCCGCCCTTCTGCAGAGGGAAGATGGAGGAGATCGCCAACTTCTCCCTCAGAAGTAGCGACATATGGATCGTCACCTACCCGAAGTCAGGTAAACAAGTCTCTGCGTCACCTTCGGGGCACGCTGCTCTCTGTGCGTTCACATTTGTTGGCTGTTGGCATCTCTCTACTGCAGCGGTGATTGCAGGCTTCCCTTGTGATTATCAAAGTTTCATATGAATATAAATAACAACACAGAGACAGCAGATGTGCAGCTTTAATCGGTCATAGGGTTCATTTTGAATAACGCACAGGCCACAGTCATCATGAAAGTTGGACATCAGGTCGTGTTTTATATTTAACAGCACTGGGTGGGTCACAGTTACCTAACATCCCTGTTTATATTGCGCTTGTGCAACACAATTATATTTTATAGGCCAATATCACGCTTTTACAAGCAGTATCCCATCATGCATTACATAATCTGATGCAGACAACAATTGATGAATGCCTAATAGTGCATCAGTAAGCCTACACGTCTAAGCTGGCCTTTATCAGCCACCATAACACGCGCCATGAGACGCAGATGGAAGTTGGTGTTTACATCTAGCTTCAGAGTGTCGTTGCGCAGCTCTGCAGCAGGCCGGCTGCCGCGCGGTGCCCTGTTGTGCGCTGGGTGGGTCCGGTCATGTGACGGCTGGTGGGCAGCTGGGGCTCGATGTCAGCATGCAGAAGGACAGTGGGAGTTGAACTGTTGACATGTGAATTAAATTTTTGTTTTGTTGTTGTTTTGTTTTGGTTGAACATCTCAGTAGCATAGGGGCACCCACAGGTGTAGATTTCAGGGGACACTTAGGGGACACGTCCTACTCAATATTTAGAACATGTGCATTTGTCCCCTCACCTCCCCTACAAAAGTAGCAGAGGACTTTTATTTTGACAAAATTCATGAATTTGCACCATAAATTTCCACCATATGCACATATTGATGCATAAAAATTCACCTGACTGCAGGAAATATTTGATGCTCATATTTTTCTGGCAGAGGACCCCCAAACCAGGGGCGTACATGTAGACAGTGCAGGCAATGGGATTGCACTGGAGCCCTCGGGGTGGAGGGGCCCGTAGAGAGAGTGGGCCCTTGCATGTGATTCAGATAGCTACCTTGGAAATATACCTGTGTTCAAAAAGGATGATTTAAAAAAGGCAATATTTTAAATTTAAAGATGGTGCCAATAGCTATATATATCATCATAAAGGCAAACCCAATTGCATAATGGCTTTTGCTTTTTCTTTTTTTTTTAAATTGTCAGTAGCTAGCTAAAACAAAATTATGTTCTTTTTCTACATAAGCTATAAAATATATTAATGAACTATAAAGTGATTCAATGAAATGATTAATTTCTTACTTTCTTTGATTTTTTTTTTGTCAGATATGCAATGATGATTTCTGGGTAATATGGTTGCGGATGTTGTCCAATGTCAAGTCTCTATTTGTGTTGAAACAATACATGCATGACTGCGTGCACTAGGGCCCTTCATAGTAATGTGCACTGAGGCCCATTATAACTTCCTTACACTACTGCCCTAAACCCCCCATTTATATGCTCTTATCCACTAACCCCATGAATCCTTTTTTTAGAGTGATGGATTTCTACACGAAGTAAGATGGACAGTTACTGTTTTTTATTCTTAATCCTTACATCCTTGCAGAAGTATTTGATCTAATCTAGAAGCTTAGTGATGCTGCGCTAATGTACTGCTGTATAGCTGGAGAACTAAGCACTAACTAGCAGGCTAGGATGGTGCTCGTCAGCAACAACAGCTTCATGATTTTCTCTGGGTTATCCTTACTGTATCTGTTAACTCCACCCTCCTTTATTCACAACTGCACATCACTGTGTTCAATAACAAGCCACTAAAGAGGGAAAATTCAGGGTCAGAGTCCACCAAACTTGAACATGACGTCCCTTTTAGAAAATCCACTGATCACAGCAGTTCTATTGAAATACATTGAATGTGTCATTCTAATTGGCCAGGCCTTTAGTTATGTTTAAGCATGTTTATAATTATTGAAATAAGCAACCCACAAAAAATGTTGTCATTGTATGTCTCTGCAAACCACATTTGCACACAGTTGTGTTGTGGAAACACTGAAACTTTATATTTCAACACTGTGGTTAGGTATAGGCACAAAAACACATAGTTGTGATCAGAAAAAGATTAAATTGTGGCTTAAAATACCGGGTAACCTGGTTTACCTTGACATCACTGGAAAAGCAGAAAAAAAATCACTTTTAATGCTTAAAAAGCTGCTTGAGACATAGTGACAGGTAGCTACAAAACACCCATGTTTTGGTGCCTAAAAAGCTGCTGGAAAAACACTGATAGGTCTCTACAAAACACCCATGTTTGATGCAAGTCACTACTACTGGAAACTTGCTAAAAAAAACTTTTTTGTTGTTTTTTGGTCTCAAAGAAGTGGTCTGCATTGGTCTGCAGCTTTGCAGGTATTTCACCTAGGTGACATGCCATCCACCATCCCCCTCCACCTCCAGATGACAAAGACAGCTCATACACCATGTCACTTTAGAAACTGAATTGATATGATATGTATGAAACATACTAATGTAATGCACTTGTGGTTTGCAGAAATGTACAATGCCAATATTTTCTTCTATTGACTGGACTGACAGAAAGGAGTTTGAAAACCAGGCCAAAATAGGGGTCATAGGGTTCAATGGGTGCATGACTGAGTGAAAGCATACACTACAGACTTTATTAAAGCAATAAATAATGCTCAATGGGTTTAATCGCATGAATGCACTGTATATGTGTATGCAGATGTAAGTAGGTAGAATGCAGCATGTTGCTGTATCATACTGCTGCACACATTCTGTTACATGATACTGTGAGAGACAGCAGTAGAGCCAAACTCTCCTGGGTGTAACAGATTGTGCTGCTTCCTGTTTAGGTTTTGCCCTGCAAGCATAGATTTGTGCTGCATCCTCCCATTACTTCCAGAGGGGCCTCGTGTTAAATGTACAGGATTTGTTCAGACCCTTCTGGAAATCAGTACCTCTCGTGCTGGCTGACTGACTGTGGAAGGAAAAGTGCAATTCTCTCAAAAATCTCAAATAAACTGCAAAAGGAGTTCTTTGTATTATTTTATTATTATTTTACAGTTCGCCAACTAAAACACTACAGCTGCACAAATAACATCATACAATTCATCAAATAACTGTGTGAGTTATCACCTGTAGAGATAAATGGATAATTATTATTAGCAGAGTTTTACAAAGCTTTTTAGTTTTCTTTCAGCTCATGTGCTGGTTTTACAGTGCCCAGTTTTCATGTTTAAGTTTATCTGTTTTCATTGAAAAATCCAGATAAAGCCTGTGACTATGGGGAATACAGAGGAAAATGTAGTTGCTAGAGAGGCAGATATTTCCCTCATGATTTGGTTGAGACTGAAAAAAACCTAAGCACTAAATACTGGACATCAGTTCTAGAATCATGACCTTAGCTAAATGCTATTAGTCTTAATGTACTTAGAATTTAAGTATGTAAATTCAGTAAACATAACTTAAGACTAATAGCTAATCTTATTGATGAAGTAAACATAACTTAAGACTGAAAGATTTATTTACTTACTTTTTTCAAGGCAAGCAGTTTCCTAGATTTTTTTTAAAGTAAGATCAGCTTGTCAGATTTTATTACAAACTGAATTTATGAGCAAGCATATTAGCTCAAATGCACATATAACTTATGGCACTGTTTGTGGATGTCTTTATCATCAGATAAATCATTGATAATATGATGGCCGTGATATATAATCTCATGACACACTTTAAGAACAATATCTAATAAGAGGAATTCAGGAAATTCTAATTTTCTGTCTTCTTTACTTCTAACAATCATAATATTACTTTTGTTAGCATTATATTTGATGCTAAAAACCATATCGTGAGCAAACCTTAAACGAATGCACCAGAATTACTATATAAAACACAAATCATGAGCCAGTAATTCGTACTACGTAACCACGAACATGTAATCAGTGGGGCTGCAATCACATGACCAATGCACTGACGGGAGTAAGGACACAGTATAAAGAGCAAAACTTTAGTTAAGGAGACAGGTTGAGGTGGTGGACTTCACTTGCCTAAACCTAACCTAAGTAACTTGACATTAAGTACGTATCATGAGGACACCAAGCATGTTTGTTTTCCTAACCCTAACTTACATAACTTTACTTTCCTAAACCAAACCTACGTAACTTTACTTGTCTGACCCTAACCTACATTACTTCATCTGTCTATACCTAACCTACATAACTTCACTCGCCTAAATCGGAGCTGATTAGCTTGAAGTTCAAACATGACAGTGTCCAACCATGTTTCTTTTCCTTAGCCCAACCTACTTAACTTCATTTGCCTAAACCTAACGTACGTAACATTACTTAACCTATCCTATGTAACTTTACATGCCTAAACCTAATCTACTCAACTTCACTCGCCTTAACCTTACCTACTTAACTTCACTTGTCTAAACCTAACCTACATAACTTTACTTGCCTAAATTGAACCTACTTAACTTGACTTGAAGTTCAAACATGACAAATGTCAAACCATGTTTCTTTTCCTAATCCTAACTTACATGACTTTACTTGCCTAAACCTAGGCTACGTAACTTTGTGCTGAGTACATGATTTTACATTAAGTACATAGCATGACAATGGCATTTGTGGGGTGATAATTCATTAGATACCATAGGAACTATTGTATGTGCATTTTCGTAAGGTATAATACAAACCATTGTATAAGGATACATGCTATATTACATGCATTTAATTTCCCTGTCAGCGTTGTTACTAGCACACATAACTACACATAAATGCCTTTGTGAATCCACACAGACAGGGATGTACTGTATGGAGAGAAGCTGACACACATATCTCCCACATCTCACCAATATGTTGTGCTTGCCTAGATGTCAAACAAGCTTATTGTTTGATCCAATTTGCGGTTTGGAGGCAGTTTCATAACAGAACACAGGAACTGAACTGTACACATGAACATTACACCCAAATCTTTACAAGTAATTAAAAAA